AATATTATCTAAAATGTGTATCTCTCTTAGTGCCTAGCACAATGTTCTGTACATAGGAAGAGCCTAATAAATATTGGCTGAATGAACTCCTTAATGATTTTGGGTCCTTTAATCAAACACTTACCCCAAACCCTAATTCTTCCCCCTTATCCTAAACACTAACAGAGGTTAATGTTTCCCTCACTGATTCACAAAAGTGGCAACTTCCACAAATATCCCCACATCTTCATATAAAACTTCTATAATAAACTATTCCATTAATATTCTACAATTTCCCTTACCTATAGCTTAGTTTCAATGTAAATATATGCCTTGTTTGATGCATATTACTCAGATGTCTGCTAATCTAAATATTTCTCCATGTCAGTATTATCTGAGTCCATTCAAAGCAAGTCAACATTTGTTAAGTGCCTACTACATAGAGAACGCCCTCTGGTAAACGGCAGATACAGTGATAAAGTAAGACACAATCTTTGGCCTCAAGGCACTCAGAATCTAGTAAAGAAATAAAACAAATATACAAAAAACTATAATAAAATTTAGAATATAGGTGTAAAAGGGGTGGTCCAAGCAAAATGCTATGAGAAATGTACAAAGAGATTAATTTAACAGCAATAAATATTTATTAATCCCCTACTGCATGCAAAGCATGGTGCTAGATAAGATACAAAGTGTAGACAATTCATAATCCCTCACCTCATGGGTTTACAGTCTAACAGGAATGCAAAGATGGCTTAATATTAGGAGATCAATAAAATAAACCACACTTATTTCAATATTTGAAGGATCCACAGTTTCAGTGAGTTGGGTTGTTCTTCCAGCAAAGTTTCCCAACCCCTCCAGGTCTTGGGAGATGGTCTTTGCAAACTGCTGAGGAAAATTAAAAAATCACCAGCTGGTGGCCGGCCTTCCAGCAATGAGCTTCTGCTGTGCCCTTTAGTCAATCAACAAATCAAGAAGCATTTATGAAGCACAAATTATGTCTTTGGTACCGTATTAGGCACTTGAGAGATACAAAGAAACACAACAGCCCATGTCTTCAGGGAGCTTGCCTTCCATTACAGGAAACAACATGTATACATAATTAGATACAAGACATATACAAAGTAAACATGAGATAATTTCAGGGGAGGGGACAGGCAGAAGAAACTGAAGCAGATCATTAAGGTCTCATGCAGAAGTAGTGCTTGTACTGAGCTTTGAAAGAGGCTAGGCCTTTCAAGAGGTGAAGGGAGGGTTGGGGGAGAGAGCATTCCTGGCATGGGGAACAGCCTGTGCAAAGGCAGAGATGGAAGATAGAATATCATGTATAAGGCACAGCAAGAAGGCCAATTAGTTTGGCTGCAACATGGTAATTCATGGAAGAGAGTAATGTTCCTAAAAAAAAAATGGGTCTCTATAACACTACAGAAATTTTGGGTCATCCTCCCAACGATTCAAATCAAACCAATTTAATTTAAAACAATAATCCCTTAAGTAAGCTTTTAGTGGGTATAGAGCAGTATCAAGAGATTTTATTGACCAATCCACTATCAAGAAGGTAGGCTATTTAAATTATCGATCCAAATCAACCCAAAAAGAGAATGGCAAAATGGTAGAGGTCATATATAGCTGGTCTCAAAGACTAGAAGACCTGGATTCAAATCTTGCCTCTGAAACATACTGGCTGTGTGACTCTGAGCAAATCATGTAATCTTTCAGTACTCTAGGCCACAATCTTAAGATTATAAATAAAAGGAAGAGATGGTGTTGACCTGCATTGATAGAGGCAGCTTCTTCACCTCTACCAGTGAAATCACAGGTCTAGTCCCTAACCTACCCAAAACAACGCTAGATTCAAAACAGATTTTTTAATTGGCACTATATTAAAAGACATCATGATATAATGGATGGAGGATTGGCCCTAGAGTCAGGAGGCTCTGAGTACAAATCTTTTCAGATATGTAAGAGACATGACCCTGGACAATTTGAAATCTCTCAGCTTCAGTTTATTCATCTGTAAAATGGGACAACAATGACACTTACTACACAGTGCTGTTGTGTAGATCCCACGAAACACTTAGAAAGTGCTTTATAAACCTTAAAGTCCTATATATATGCTAAGTTATTATTATTCACCTACTATCTTTTGTCTTTGCCCCACCATAAATTCATTTGACAGGCAAGAATTAAGGGTGTAGTCTGTGGTCACAGAAGAGGAAGAAAACTGACAAGGGATTCAACCTATAATCTGGTTTTCTTTAGCACTGCCTTTTAACCAATGAAGGAACAGTCATGTTAGAAACATTAGCGAAGTTCAAGAACACAGAGAAAAGTGCTGAGTAAGAAGGGAGAGGCGGAAGAAAGGAAAATGAAAAGGGTTACAGATTTATAACTATGACCATAAATGTCCTGAATTGAATTTAATTGTAATTTTTCTTAAACATTTCCAAAATTCATAGAGGATGACACTACAACACAGTATCAAAAATTAATTAATTTTAAAAAACAGTTCTCACCTACCTATGTGTGTGTGGCTTTTAAAAGAACATACAAGATTCCTGTGCTTCAGGAGTCTACAGTCTGAGACACACATAGCATAACAAGCAGATATACCAGAATAAAAACAACTCATATCTACGTCACACTTCATAGGGCTTTCCTCACTTTTCCTCACTACACCTTTGTACAAGACAGTATTCATTTGTACTTCAATAATCTTTCATCTGAATAACGTGGGCACCCTGTCTCCAGTCCACCTTAGAAGATGATCTTGGAAGGTTGCTACAGCTGAAAAATGTATCACCCTGCAGACAACCTGGAAAGAAGCCTCTCTGAACCGGAATGGGCTTTCAATGACACTATGCCCAGACTGGGAGCAAAGGAAGTACATAATCAATCAACCGATAAACATTTATTAAGCACCTACTATACGCCAGGCACTGTGGTAGGTCCTAAGGATACAAAGATAAAAATTGAAATAATCACTGCTCTCAAGCTTACATTCTATAACATGTTGATATATGTGTATAAAGAATAAATACAAAGTAGCTAAAGAGGGAACACCCTACAAATTGAGGAAGATTAGAAAAGGCTTCATGAAGAATGTGGTACTTCAGCACTGTTTTGAAGGAAGTAAAGGATTTGATGAGGTGACAGTGAGGGAGTACTTTCCAGTACTTCCAGCACTTCCAGCAGCAGAAGAGCCTGGACATGTGAGACGCAGTGAGTGCCATGAGGAACAGTAAGGCTAGTGGGCCTGGATGATAAAGTATGGAAACTGAGCTTACGCTTTATACTGGAGGTAATAGGAAAGCATTGGAGTTTGGGGAACTAGGGAGTAACGTGATCACTTCTGCACTTGTGGAAAATCACTTTGACAAGTGTGTGCACAGTAAACTGGAGTGGGAAGACAAAGCAAGGAGAATGATTAGAAAGCTACTGCAACAGTTCAGACAGAAGTGAGGAGGGTCTGAGAGAAATAGAAATAGCAAAACTTATCGACAGATTGGGTAGGTGAGGTGAGAGTGAGGAGTTGAAGATGACACTGGGGATACAAAATTGGGACACTTGAAGAATGGTAGTGCCCTTGAAGAAAATAATAAAATTCAGTAAAGAGGATTGGGGGACTTCTGAGGGGGGAGAGGAAAGGAGAGATAATGAATTTTGTTTTGGATATCTGAGTTTGAGACGTCTACAAAACAAAGGAGAGCAAAGTATGGCCCTTAGGCCAAATCTGCCAGCCTGTTTTTGCATGATCCAAGAACTAAGAACGGTCTTTACGTTTTTCTAGATCTGGCCATCAGGTCATAGTTTGCCTACTCCTGTTCAAGCAGCTGGTATTGTGGGACTCAAGCTCAGGAGACAGATTAGGACTGGATCTATTGGTCTGCAAGTCACCTGCACCAAGATAATAATGGCATTTCTGATGCAGGGAGGTGGTATAGTGGATCGAGCGCTCCGAGAAAAGAAGAGGGCTCAGGACAAAGCCTTTGGCACAACCAAAAATAAGGTGCAAGGTATGGATGATTAACTACCAGAGGAGACTGAAAAGGCCCTGTAGTTATTGTTATCCCCATTTTATATATTAAGAAATAAACTCAGAGAGGGGAAGTGATTGGCTAATATTCAGCTATTAAGTGACTCAACCCATTACTCACTACATCTATCATTTATACATTAAAGGGGGGAGAAAGAAGGGAAGAAAAGGAAAAGGGGGGAAATTGTGGGAAAGGCAGAAGGGAGAAAGTAGAAAAGGGAAAGAATGAGAAGAGGAGAGGAACAAAGAGAAGTGACAAAGGAAGGGAAAGGTTGAAGAACAAGATCTTGAAAACGGCCAGGAATGGGGGAGGTGGGGGAAGACAAGGGATGGGGGTGAATTTATGGAAAGGGGGCAAAGATAAGAAAGCAACTAGTAGGAGCTGCAACTAAGTCAAGGTACAAGGAGTGGACAAGAAAAAAGGAAAAGGAAGAAACACAAAAAGTGGGGAGGAAAGAAATGGAATAGAGAATTAGAATAGAGGCAGGGGAATGTAAATAGGAGAGAAGGAAAGAGATGAGAACAGGGGGTCTAGGCAGGGGACAGAGACGAAGAAGAGTAGCATTTATATTGCGCTTTAAGGTTTGCAAAGGGTTTTACAATTATGATTGCTTCATTTGACCTTCACAATAACCCTGTGGGATAGCTATCCCTACCCATTTTACAGATAAGAAAACTGAAGCCGGGCAGAAGCTCCGTGACATGTGCAGGATCACACAGCTATTAAGTGTCCGAGGGAGGATCTGGGGAGGGATCCACAGGCTGAGAAGGCCGGGGGCAGAGAAGAGAGAAGGGAGGCCAGTGGCCAGGGAAGGAACAAGGCCGGGGACCCTGGGGCAGGGGCTGAACTGCTAATAGGAGCTGAGGCGAGGGGAAGCGACAGGGACGGGGACCGCAATGGGGGTCCGGGAGGCAAGGGACAGAAGGGCTGGGGCGGGGAAGGCACCCACTGACCGCGCGGCCACCCCCCTTTCTCCCTCACCTTAGCCCCCAGTCTCAGCCCCAAGGCCCGGAGCCGGATCTCCACTCGACCGGAAGCGCTGTGTCCTTGGGCCTCGGGATCCGGGTACAACTCTTACTCTGGAACGGCCCGTTCCGTCTCTCCACGGGGATGCCACCTACCCAGGTAGGAGCAGAGGGCGTGGGGAAGAGGAGAGGGGCCTTCCCGAGGCCGCGAAGCCTCCCTCCGGCCCACGGGGCCCCGCCCCGCCCCCGCGCGCCGAGCCAATCGCCGGCCGAGCAGCCCCGGAAGCTGTTTCCGGCCGGACCGCCGTGCCGCTGCACGCCCCGGCCCCGCTGTCACTGAGGCCCGGCAGCGGTGCGGCGCTGGGACCACGAGCCGGGAGGGACTGGGTGAGTCGGGCCGGGAGGGCGCGGGGAGGCCGGGCCGGGCTAAGGGGCTGGGGCCGCCGGGGTCTCCCCGCGAGCCCGCCCCGCCAGCCCCCGGGGGGAGGGGCGGAAAGGGCCCGTCTGGCCGCAGCCACCGCCACCGCCCGGCCCTCGGTGAGCCCCCGGGCCCTCCTGCCCTTCTGCCCCGGCAGCTCCGGCTTTGCCCCCTCATCGCTCTGGCCTCCTGCTCCTCCTCTTGTTTCTTCCTCATCCTGTGGGATAGTAGACTAGAGGTGCTGCTGAAATGACAGCTGTTAGGATCCTTCATCAGCGCCTCCTGCCCAAACCCTGGAATTTCACCGTCTCGTAGCGTGATGCAGCGGAAGGAGGACTGGCCTGGAGTCACAATACCGGCCTTGCCACTTACTGCCCCGTGTCCTTGGACAAGTCACTTTACTTTTCTAAGTTTCAGTTTCCTCATCCGCAAAACCTGGGTTGTTGAACTAAGTGACCTCGATGGTCCTTTTCAGCTCTAAGTTGATAATCATCCCTTCCCCTTTATTTTGTCTCTCCCTCGCCCCTCCTCCCTCCCCCCGCGCCATCTTTTCAGTTGCCTTATTCTTTCCTTGTCCAGGCCAAAGGTTTTCGCTGTCATCGGTGCTGGGGCAGATGGATGGGGCCACGAATAGGGGGGCTTGGAGTCAGAAAGACTTGAGTTGGAATCTTATCTCAGATACTAGGACTTAGCAGAGTGCCTAACACTAGGTAGCTGCTTAATAAATGCTTCTTTACCTGACTCTAAACAAGTCCCTTAACCACTCTGTACCTCAGTTTCCTTATCTATAAACTTGAGATAACAATAGCACCTACCTCTCCAGTAAAGTGATTTACAAACTGTAAAGTGTTATTTAAATGCCAGCTATTGCCATCTGTTACCATCATCGTTATCATTATTATCTCTTCTTCCTCTATACTAGTCCAAGAATTTTATGATAATCATTTCCTCGTTACCAAAGTCTGGAATTTCATCATTTCATCATTTCATTGATACTAAACAGTATCAAAAAGTCCCTTCCAGCCTTTGATTCTCTGACCTTCCATTCACCCCACCCACCCCTTTTCCTTTCTCTTTCTCTTCCTTTTTCCCTCCAGGCTCTGGAATTTCATCGTCTTCTCCTCTCCACATACCCTGTAACTCCATCTGTTGTCTTCCCTGTCTGTTTCCCCCGTTCCCTGAATCTTCAGCACCACTTTCCCCTTGACCATTATCTCCTTCCCAACAATTATTTCTTCAGCTCCCTTGTTGTGTCTGACACCTGAGTACAGAACTGGAGAAGTATGACTAATAGCCCCTCCCCCTGCAGTCCAGAGACTAGCTAAGTGTTACAATGGATAAAGCGCTAGATCTGAAAGTCAAGAAAAGCTGAGTTCAAATCCAACCTCAGACACTTACTGGCTGTTGTGTGACTCTGAGCAAGTCCCTTTCTTCAGCTGTAAAAATGGAGATGATAACAGCACTTACTTGACAGGGCTGTTGTGAAGATCAAATGAGATATTTGCAGCCTGTTACAGTGCCTGGCACATAGTAGGTACCATATAAACGCTTATCTTCTCCCAACTACCCAAGAAGAGAATTAACCATTTCACTAATAAGTTCCTTTTTACTGATAGATTTTCCAGTGAGGACTACTTTAAGGAATATTGTAGAGGGAATCCCTGTTCCGTTCAGTTCAGCAATTCAGGCATTGATGAAGTCCTCCAGAACGAGGTGCCATGACACTGTCCCTGGCCATAAGACACTTGCATTCTACTGCAGGAACACGACAGCATAGACAGAGATAAGTTCGACACCTAGTAACTTCTGGAAAGAGTAGGTACTAGCATGTGGTGAATCACAAATAAGCTGAGCCTCAAGGCTCAAGAAAACCAGGAGATCTCAGAGATGGAGGCAGGAGGGCATGTATTCCAGGCAGACAAGGCAGCCGTGGCAAAGGCACCGTGTTCTGGATGCAGGCTGGCACAGTGGAAAGAGCATTAGCTCTGGAGTCAAAGAGCTGGATTCAAATCCTACCTTTAACATTTACTCTCTGGGTAGTTCTTCAGCAAGTCATCATACTTCTCTGGCTTTCAGTTTCCTTGTCCATAAATTAAGGGAGTTGGACTAGATGGCTCTAGGGCTAAACCAAAACAGGGCAGTAAATCTGACCGAAGGGCTATAGTTTGCTAACCTCTCTTCTAGAGACAGATCAAACTCAGTTGTCCAAAGCACATCTCATTATCTTTCCCCTGCCGATCCTATTCTTTTGAGGTCCCTTCCAGCTCTAAATCTATGATCCTGTATCAAATTGGAAGTCTCTATAGTAGACCAGCTTGTCTGTAACATAGGACAAGTGAAGGGGTCAATTATCATCTTTATGCAGATGGCCCTCAAATCTATATATACGGCCCAAGTCTCCTGAACTCCATTCGCACACTGACAGCTGCCTACTAGATGTTCCATTAATAGCTAAACTTAAAATATAAAAATATAAACACAAGAGGCCAGAGAAACCAGAAAAGATACAAATACATTTCTATTTGAGCACTTGGAAAGAGCTTTATAATAATATTCCGATAGTCTAATGAGGGTAAGGGGAACAGAAATCAGTGTGTTATAATAAGAATAATAGTAATTAAAACTTATATATCACCTTAGGTTTAGAAAGATGTTACCACATTTGATCCTCATGACAACTCTGAGGAAGATGGTATTATTATCCCCATTTTATTGATGAGGAAACTGAAGCAAACAGAGGTTAAATGGCTTGCCCAATGTCATACAGCTAGTAAATATCTGAGGCTAAAGTTGACCTCAGGTCTTCCTGATTCCAAATCTTATAGTCTTATTCACTGGGCTTTATCCAGGGGCCACCTAGTCTCTCGACATCCCTTCAGAGCTTTAATGTCTGAAGAAAAATAGAGGTCCTAAGATGTGGATTGGTTCTGTTCTGACAGAGGTTAGAGAAGATTGGGTAAGAGAACATATTAGCATAGAAAAGAAGAACTGAAGGGGGACTTGCTATTTCTTATAATTGGGGTATATAAGAAGAATATGCAAACATGGAAGGAGTGGACATCAGGTGAAATGACACTACACACACAGTTTGGTGTAGAACTATAACAAATTCAACAGGAAGATAAACGGGTAGGGAAGAGGGAGGTTAAGAAGGAGGTTAATACCAGAGAGAGAATAGTCACAAGCAAAATAAAATTCATGATTCTGAAGAAAGGACTAAAAGGGGCAGGCAGGAAGGGAAGGCTAGAATCTAAGGAACTACCTTAGAGTGCCTCTTGGCCAGTTAGGGAATGGCAGCACGAAGTGTGGCAGACGAATATAATGAAGCATTCTGCTGTATTACAAAAGAGATTATTGCAGGGAATCCTAGGTAGGGTGAATGATTAAGAGTGGAGTGAGCAGAACCAGAACAGTTTATACAGGGACATTGTCATGTGGTAAAGAAAAACAACTTTGAAGGACTTAAGAATTTGGATCAAATCAGTGACCAAAATGTATCTCAAAAAAAACTATGATAAAGCATGTTACCTGCCTCCTGACATAAAGAAAACAAGGGAAGGAAAGAGTCTTGTATTGGACATAGCCATTACTTTCATTCATTTTGCTCAACTGTGCTTATTTGTGACAAGGGTATTTTTTGTTCTTCTTCAGTTAATGGGAGGAAGGGGGGAGGTAGCAACAGTAATGCTAAGAGACAAAGAGAGAAGGCCATTCAAACTTTTTAAAAATGCATAAATAAGAGCAGAAGTTGAAAAGAGAGCACAGACAAGCAAGACCATTTCTGAAAGTACTAGTTTAGGGTTGGGCAAGATGTGACTGGCAGTAGGACAAGGAAGCAAAGATTCAAAAGTAGAAAATTGTGCAAACACTTGAACTGTTTAATCATAAGATCAAGATAGTAATCGAGAGTGAGAGCAAAGTAGGAGTGATAAAGAGGAAGTTGTGAAGTGACAGAAGTCTTGGAGAATGGAATTAGAAGTGAGAAAGACATGGAAATACAGTTTCTAACTGAAGAGAGTGGTGAGGTATTCGGAGACACCCTGTTTCCCAGAGCCAAGGCCCAGCAAGCAAGCTGTGCCCTGAGCTTCGCATAACAACAGTCCTTTGGGCTCTGGATTTCAGCCACAGCAAAATCCCAGAATTGTTTCCTGCACCAGGTGTTCTCTGAGCTAAGACAAGCACCTGCTGTCCATGTTCTGGTCATGAAGCCCTGCTGTGAATCAGACTTGACACATGGTTGCTGTTATCCCTCATTGTCAGTGCTACAGCTCACTGCATATTGAGATCTCCCCAAGCTAAAGTGGGTACCTCCCACTACAGGCAGGACTCCGCCACATGTGTACTTTCTTAGAAGCTGTTGTCCTCACTTTGACATAAAATAAACTTCTGTTTGTGTCCTGACTCTCCTGTCTCTATCCTGCTGTGTTCAGTTCTGGCCATTCCCAAGTCAGAGGCCACTTAACAGTCTGGTTGACAAGAGGAATTTAAGAGTTCTGGATCATAGAGGTAGCACAAGGGTATAACCATCCCTAGGGACGCCTATGGTGAGTTGAAGGTGTTATTCATGGTTACTGAGGAGGTTAGTGAACTGGGAGGCTGTGTGATATGTCAGCTGGACAGAACTGGCCTCTAACCTGTAGATGACCAGAGCCAAAAAGAGCAGGCTAGAGACAGGAGAATCAGGAATCAAACAGAGGTTTAATTTCAAAGTGAGAAAAACAGCTTGCAAGCAAAGCACATCCCATGTGGGGAAACCTGCCTTCCTGTGACCACACCTTGATTTCTGTGTTTGTGGCTAAACAAAGAGTCAGTATAGTGTAGCAATAGTGGTGAGGCACAGCAAAACAGTGAAGCAAGATTGCCTAGGGACAAGAAGTCCCTTCATAGCATGGCTTTATGTTTGAGCCTGTTGGCATGTGGCCGAGCTCAGGGACCATCAGTTCTGTGATTTAGTTGCAGCATTGTTCATCCAGAGGGTAAGGGCAAAGGATTGTTGTTATGCCAGGCTCAGGACACAGCTTGCTTGCTGGGCCTTAGCCCTGGAAAACAGGGTGTCTCCTAATATCTTGACAAACAGCAGGGTTAAGGGAAGAAGAAAGTTATGAGCCAGTTATAGGACTCCTTCAGGTCAGTCAGTAGGCATTTATTAAATGCCTAGGATGTGCCAGGCACAGTCCTAAGCTCAGAGGCAAAGACAGTCTCTGCTGTCAAGGAGCTCATAGTCTAATGTAAATATGTAAACAGCTGTGTACAAATAAGCTAGATACATGATAAATTGGAAATAATTAATAGAGACAAGGCAGTATCATTAAGAAGGATTAGAAAGAAAGAAAGGCTTCCCTGCAGAAGGTGTGATTTTAGCTGGGATTTGAAGCAAGTCAGGAGGTGGAGGTGAGGAGGAAGAGCAATCCGGGCATGGGCCATAGCCAAAGAAAATGCCCAGAGCAGAGGGCTGGGATATCCAGTCTGTGGAAGAGCCAAGAGGCCAGTGTCACTGGATCTAAAAATATGTGGGGAAATGTAACCAATAAGACTTGAAAGAAGTTGGGGTGGAAGGGTAGCTAGGCTATGAAGGGCTTTGAACACCAAACTGAAGATTTTTTATTTTTTCCTGGAAATGATAGGGAGCCATTGGAGTTTATTGAGTAGGGAGGCTTGTGCTTTAGGAAAATGACTTTGGCTTTGGCAGCTTAACGAAGGATGGGTTGGACTGGGGTAAGACTTGAGGCAGACAGACCCACCAGCAGGCTGTAGGAATAGTCCAGGGATGAGGTGATAAGGGCCTATACTAGAGTGGTGGCAGCGTCAGAGGAGAGAAGGGGCATATTCTAGAGGTATTGCAAAGGTGAACAACAGGCCTTGGCAACAGCTTGAATAGAGGGAGTCAGGGCAGGGAGCATGAGAGATGAAGAATAGAAGATGACACTTGGGTTGTGAGCCTGGCCAACTGGGAGGATTTTGTTGCCCTCTACATTATTAGGGAATTGGAGGAGGGTTTAGGGGAAAAGATAATGAGTTCAATTTTGGAAATGTTGAGTTTAAGTTGACTACTGGATATTTAGTTCAAGATGTCTGAAAGACAGTTGGAGATTGGAGGTCAGCAAAAGAGGTTAGGGCAGGATAGATAGATTTGAGATTCATCAGCTTAGAGATAATAATTATATCTATGGGAACTGATGGGATCACCAAATAAAGTAGTGTAGAAGGAGAAGAGGGCCTGGGGCAGAACACTGGAACACCTATGGTTAGAGGGTGTGATCTGGAGAGGGATCCAGCAAAGGAGACTGAGAAGGAGCTGTCTGACAAGTAGGAGAACCAGGAGGAAGTGGTGTCCTGAAAACCTAGCCTGAAGAGAGTGTCAAGGAAGAGAGAATGATCAACAGTATCAGAAGCTGCAGAGAGGTCAAGAAGAATGAGGACTGAAAAAAGACCATTGGATATGGCACCAAGAGATCATTGGTAACTTCGGAGAGAGTAGTTTTGAGATCGGAAGCCAGACTGAAAGGAGTTAAGAGGAAAGGAAATGAAGACACACCTATTGTTTGTGACTTCCAGGAGTTTAGCCACAGAGGGCGAAGAGATATAGAACAAAAGCGGAGGTGAAAGGATCAAGTGAGGGTCTTTTGAGGATGAGGGAGTTATAGGCATGTTTTTAGGCAGCAGGGAAAGAGCCATAGAGAGGGAGAGATTGTAGATAAGTGATTGAGTGGAGAAAACAGAGAAGACAATCTGCTGGAGGAGACAGAATGGAAGGAGATAGTGGTTATCCTTGGCAAGGATAAGTCTATCTCTTCATGTGAGACAGGAGAGGATAAGAGAGTGGCAAAAGGCATTGGAAGGATGGAAGATGAGGAGGAAAGAAGAAATGCTCTGGTATAGGTTAGCACAGATAACCGCTGAGCTTCCTTCTAACCTTGATGTTCTATAATTCCTAACACTTCCCTCCTTTCCTCCTACATATGTAAGACACTGATGCAGAAGTTTCAGTGGTGAAAACAAACAGGGAGAAAAATGTAAGACCTAGGATAAGCTGGGTAATAATAGCTTGCATTTCAGTAGTGCTCTAAGGTTTTATAAAACACTTTACCCATTTATATCCAATGAGATAGGTAATACATTATTGTCCCCATTTTACAGATGAGAAAACGGAGGCCCAGAGAGGTTAGGTATGGGTAACTTATATAAATGTACTGGGTCTTGGATTGCATGAGCCAATCCTTCAGAAAGTGTGATCATCCCCATTTCATCAGCCAGGCTAGCTCATAAAATTATCTTTGTCATCAGGAAGGGACAGCCTGTAGCTTTCAGTTTTGTTAAGTATTTCTCACAATAGGGTGGTTTCCAGTAACCCATTTCTGACCCAAGTAGGAGGAAGGCGTGGTTCAGGAGAGAGTTTAAATTGGGAACTGGGAAGGGATTGGTAGAACATCTCCTGCTGTAGCCTGTGTGTGCAGAGTCCTCCTCTTCTGCCTGGGTCTGTATTCACATCTTTGCTGATAATTTTAGCTCTTTTTATTGCATGTAATTACCTTTTACCAAAGTGTTAGAGAACTTCAAGAAGAGAGAATGATGCTGGGGGGAGTAGTCAGGAGCCAGTGCATGTCAGCCTCTTGCACCCTGAAATAAGAGAATGAGCTGGATTCTGTTGCTGCTAAAGTTGTCATCAATAAGGAGAATCTAGAAACTAGTATAGTAATTTTACTGTGCATAGATATATAGTGTCTTTGTTTCTAAGACTTTGAGGTAGTTGGGAGAGGGGTTCTACTTTATATTTGTGTGGTCTGAGAGGGCAAAACTTAGAAAAAATGAATAGTTTTTTAATTGAATTTTATTTATTTCAATTAACAAATATCAATTTAATCTCCCACCACTCCACTAAAAAAAAACCCAAACAACTTTGTAACAAATATGCATACCAACCAAAATAAATTCCTGCATGGGACATATCCAAAAAGATATGTCTCATTCTGCACCCTGAGTTCATGACCTCTCTGTCAGGAAAGGATCAGATGCTTCATCATTGATCTTCTGGAATAATAGTCAGGCATTGCACTGATCAGAGTTACTTTGTTTTTGCACTGTTGGAAAGGGTAGAAGTTTTAGGGAGGCATATTTCAGCCCAACAGAAGAAAGAACTCCTAACAGTTACAGACATTTAGACAATGGAATAGGCTGCCTCAGGAAGCAGTGACTGTATCATTGCAGATCTTTAATGGAAAACTTGCTGTCCACTTGCCAGGAATGTGGTCATGGAGATTTATGCCTCAGGGTTGGATGCGATTGAAATCCTAGAAATGTCTGAATATTTTGAGTTAGAAACTCAGATTCTCTACTTTATTTTCCTTGATTCTACCTCCTTAATAAGGAAAATTTGGGCAGAATTACATTTCCATGATATTGCATGAATATATTCTTACACTGCCTTCCAATTATTGTGAATAAATCACTTATCTAGCTGTTTTAAGAGCATGTTTTATTGCATAGAGAAAAAAATGTGGAAATAGAACTTTTTTTCCTTTTAGTGGAAAAATGACATTTTGCTAGATTGATGTGGGGTAATAGAAGGTACATTGTCTTCCCAGCAGAAGACTCGGATGGAACCCTGGCTTCTAGACTTAACTAGTTGTGTGACCTCTTCAGTTTCTCTGAGTTAATCTATAAAATGTAGATAATAATACTATCACTAGCTACCTCACAGGAATGTGGCAATAGAAGTGTTTTGTAAATCTTAAACCTTATAGAAAAGTCATTATTAAGGAATACATAGGTCTAGAAATGTTAGCCATCATCATTGTCACTATTAAATGGTAATGTTTGATTTCTTGCCATATTCTTTTCTTGGTGGTAACCTGTAATAAAGAGAAACAGGGAATTGTGGCCCCATTTGTCTTTGTAAAAGACAAGCTCTTTATTAGGTTGATGATAGAAACCAATGCCTCACGCTAAAGTCTAGAAGGTGGGGGTGGGGAACGTTGCTTGCTTAAAACAGGTTTGGTTTCTATTTGTGTGGGGATTTTTTTTTGGTGGGGGAAGAGATTGTCATCCTCCCTTGTATAAATTTTCTTGGCACTGCCTTGGTACTCCATGATTGGGCTAGAATGATGAGGGGTAGCTTCCATCTGTGGCATTAAGAAATCTTCCTGAATCACCAGTGCTCCAGATTATACTGCACCTCTTTTGTACAATTGTCATGACCTGTTAATCTTTCTGAGATATAATTTATATAAAACTCAACAATTTCCCTAGTTCTCATTTGTTCAGTGGTTCTCTTACTTTTCCTCAATTCAACAAGATTTTGTTAAATTTGTACTCTGCTCTAGGCACTGGAGATACAAAGCCAAAAATAAGACAGCCTCTACTCCGAGAGCTTACTTACGTGTTATTGGAACGAAGACAGCAGGTACACAGATAAGTGAATACAGAATGTATCCTAACCGGAAAATCAGGAAGGGCTTCTTATAGAAAATGGCACTTGGGCTTAAAGAGAGCTAGGATTTCCAAAAAGGAGAGGCGGAAAAGAGGAGCAATCATGGCCTGAAGGAGAGCCACCAAGACAAAGATTCAGGAAGTGGAATGTGAGGTATTCCAGCAGCCAGTAGGCAAGTTTGGCTGGAATTCAGCACGTGTGAGAAGAACCTATGTGTAATCAGACTGGACAAGTAGGTGGGTGCAGGGCTTAAAATCCCAAACAGGAGAGTTTATATTTTAGCCTCAAGGTAGGAGGAATCTATGGAATCTTCTTGAACAGGGAAATGACTTGACCAACACTTAGCATTTAGGTCACTGTGAAAGAACTGCCCTCTGCCCTCCCTACTCAAAGCTCCAAACCAGCAACTGAATAGCTCCCATCATCCCCTCTGCTGCCCTATCCACAAAACTGGAAAGCTGTTCTCCCTTTAGGCAGAAGCCTTTGGAAAGTCCGCATTGTCGATTTAGACTAGATTATTTCCTTAACATTGTAGGTCTACATAGTTCTTTCTCTAATACTTTGCATTTATTAGCATAGCATCCATATTATTATCCTTACTCTCAAATAAGACACTTTTAAAAATATGTTTATAAATATAGTTTGGGATATTTTAGGAGTATCGATTTGGCAGCTGAGTGCCAGATGAATTGGGGAAGGGAGAGGCTTAATGCAGGGAAACCAGTGAGGCAGCATTTGCAATAATGTAGGCAAGTGGTGGTGAGGGCTGAAATTAAGGTGGTTGGGTTGTGAATGGAAAGAAGGGGGTGGAAGAGATGCTATGGGGGGCAAACCAATTGAATCAATCAATTGAATCAGTGGCAATCAATGCAATGGAGATAGGAGCAGAGAAGCATCAAAAGCAACTCCTGGATTACCCCTTTTGCAGAAATAAGGAAGTCAGAGGAAGAGTGGTTTAGGAGAAAAGATAATGAGTTCTGTTCCTCTTTTTCTCTTCCTTCTCTCCCTGCTCAAATACTGTTCTTAGAATGGTAAGAGTCTTACTGAACTCTAGCTCAGAATAGTCAGGTTCCTTGAGAACAGGAACTGGGTTTGGTTTGATTTTATATTTTTCCCCAGTTTGTATCCCCAGTCCTTACCACAGTGCCTGGCACATAGTAGGAACTTCATAAATGCTGGTTTTCTGACTTACTGCTTGTCCATAAATAAAATATTTGTTCAATGAAAAAATAGTTTGTATTTTATTTTTTAAAGTACTTTTCAGCTTATTCTTTAAAGATATAATGTGATGTTCTTCCCTGATAGTGAGTTTATTTAGCTTGGGCTTTTAAAACCACCAAAACTTTCACATGAAAAGGGTTCTTAATTACTTCAGATAAGAGAATTTCAATTGTGTTACTTCAGACAGCAGTATTTGTTAAACTACCTTTTCCTTTGAAGGAGGTCAAGAAACTACCTTAGGACTATTAGACACATTTACGATTTATTAAACTCTCCAGAAAGAAATAATCAGAGCAGAAGGAGAAGAAGAGGACTGAGTAGAAGAAAACTTAGAACCATGAAGAGAAGAAAGATGAAGTGAGGAGAGCTTCTTTACCTGTCATTTCATTGTTTGATCACCGTATTTCCCTTACCTCTAACTGAGTGAAAATGCCCTTTCTGGTTCTTGTGTCAGAGTCGGTGTTCCCCTCACCAGCACGTTAAGAGTGGCTTTCCTTGGTCAGTCCCTTAGCTAGCTTACACAATTTAGGGTCCCTCCTCTGTGACTTAATGGAATTTCCCAGAGGAAAGAAAAATAATTTGGCAGCTAGCCATGCCCTCAAATAGAGGCCCACATACCCTTGGTCTGTAATCAAAAGACTTATGAGAAATTGAAAGTTAACTCCTAAAGAGGGGGGTGGAGAGATTCCAGCTCTTGGACAAAGGGGAATAGATCCATGAGGGGTTGGGCTTCTGATGTCCCTTACCAGGACAGGACTTAGAAGTCACTAAGAAAAAAAAAAAAGGAGTTGCTAAAAGAAGAAATTCAGTGGGATTGAGAGCACTTTTGGTAAATGTCATTTTCTTGATAAAAAAAAATTTGTTGTGAAGGCAGCGTTCAGAAATTGGCCTATTATTTTAATTTTGTTTATTGACATTTGAAAATTGATAAATTAGCCATCTTCTGATGCCTCAGGAGTGGCAGTAATTCTGGATGTCTATGCCAACAAAGCAGAAGCTCTGGGAGATCCTACCAAATTAATGATAATGCCAGCTCACAGTTATACCACACTTTAAGTACTTTACCTACGTTATCTCATTTGATACTCATAATTAACTCTGTGAGGGAGATGCTATTATTGTGCCCATTTTATAAATGAAGAAAGTGAGGCTGAGGGTCATGTAGCTAGTAATGGACACAACACTAGATCATCCTCCAAGAGCCGTGGCAGTAAAAGGGTGGCCATCAGAGGATGAATCTTTGGGCCGCATCATTTGTGAGATCACGTGGAAAGGTCTGACCTACTTATTAGAATGATCTAACAATAATCTTGCCGGCTTATCAAAATCGGGGGAGTAGAGAAAGAATTCGTCATCTACGAGAACATGAAATGCTAAAGTTTCAGTGATAGACTCTGATACCGGTGCCACCCTGGGCAGGGCACTTGGTGCTTCCGCTTGTTCACCTACAAAATGCAGGGGTTGGATCATGTGACCTCTGAGGCCACTTCTGGTTTAAAATCTATGATTTTATGAGCCATTTAGATGGTTACAAAACGAGTTTTGTTTTGGTTCTCAACAGTACCCCTCATATAGGCAAGACTGTTAATAGGTGAGGTTAATAGTGTTTAGCTCATTACTTGAATGTTAATATCAAATGAAGAAAAGAAACTATGAAGTTGTCGATTTGGAAGTGAATAGTCAAGCAAAACCAGGCAGTGGAAAAATAGAAGTGGAATAGGGAACTGTTGTCATTATGGGTTTGGGGGGGGATCTTTTCTTTAGCACCACAATGTAGGGATAATGACTTCCTTATGCCTTACTGACTACCCCTCCAGTCACAGCCTACCCTCAACCTAGAGGGGTACAGGGAAGCTAAAAGACTACCCCTTTAGCCATTCCTAACTTCTCATAAAGAATATCATGATTTTTAGCCAACATTTTCAGAGTTAAGAAGGAAATAATTACTAATAGAATGTACAGAGAAACCTTTTCAGAGGGTTCAAAATTAAACAAAATAGCATTGGTAATAAAGAGCTATAATAAAAATATAGTCCCCATTTATTTCATTTAAAACACAGACTGAAATAAGGAACTTTTGTCAGCTGTGAACCTCCAAGTGCCTGGGAATATTGCAGCTGGCTAACAGATGACGCCAAGTGCTTTTCATAACTTCAAAAACACATTAGAAATTAGTACCCAAGGAAACAGAGAGAAAGAGCAAACACCCATTTGCTATGCATGTTTGACTTCAGAAAGCTTAAGTTTATTAATGTATCCTATTAACTTGTATCTAGAAAAACTGGACTTGTTTCTAGAAAAACAACTGTAGTGTTCAGAGTAGTCTATAAATAAATAATGTCTGGATTTTCACATAATTTTAAACTAATGTTTTTAGTTAGGGTCCAAGTACAATAAGTATTATTATGATAACTCACATTAGCAAAATTTTTAAATCTCACTGGAGATGTTACGAACCTTAATTCTGCATTGTCACAACCTCCCCCTTTGACTCCTAAATCTGATATTTGTACAACTAAAACAGTAGCCTTTCCATGTTCATATGCATGGGCTATTTGATTTAAATAATAGATTTATAGGGTTGGAAAGGACCCTTTAGAGCCCAAAGTGTGACATCCTCATTTTTACAAATCAGAAAAATGAGTGGCACCTTCCCCCAAAAAAAATTATGTTCAAAATCATGTTTAAATTTTATCAGCTTTTATGAGTAAATTATATAGTATTCAAATTCAAAACCTATCTCATGGTATTGTCTATTGATAGTTTCCATACATCTAGCTTATTAGGCTCAACTTAGGGTAAAATTCTCATCTGCCTACGTTAGTACACTAGCCTTCCATATTTTTAGTTACCTTTATGAAAACTTTGTGGGGAATTGAAATATGCTGAATCTTACACACTTTGAAAACTAAACAGTTACCTTTTGAACAGTAGAATAATTTCTAAATGTTTCAGATGGTTTTAGTTGGCATATATATGTCTGTTAATGTAATTTAACATTTGAGTGTGAACCATGGTAGATGCTAAACACTTTTGGGAGAGAGGGGAGTAAGGTGTTAGAGAAGTTTCATGGAAGAAGTATCACCTGAGTTGGAAAGAAAGGCAAGGGGTAGCACATTTCAGAGATGAGCATGGTGTAAGGGGGTTGGATTAGATCATCTTTGATGTTTATTCCAACTTTAATATTATGTGTCAATGTGCTTCTTTGATATCTGAGAAGACCAAAAATTTGAAATGCAATTATTAAGCCAACAACTGTGATTAATAGCTTTTGTGTCTTCTCTCTCTTTTCCAGGCCTCTATTTTGTTCTTCTGACCTATTGAGTACAATCAGCTGTTATCCTAAAGCACTTTAATACCACAATTCTAAGCTGTGGAAAATGGCGGACGTTCTGAATGGTGAACCCTATCCTTCCACTCCACAGGAGCTGTTCAAAAGCATAGCAGCTCAAGGAGAAATTGTCCGATCATTAAAAGCAGAAAAAGCACCAAAGGTACTTTGGAATTCTTTGCCTATTACTCTTAGTTTCTAAAATCAATTAGTTTCTTTCTAATAGTTCATTGCTATGCAATGATTGAAATAAGTTGGTGTATGAGTTAAGAATGATTTGCTCCCCTACAATTAGCTCTTTCAAAACACTAGAATACTACTTAATATGCTAGAAGAGGCCATGGTTTTTTGACTTCCCTTGCCAGTGGCTGCTTATATAGCTACTAATTTTTTTGGTTTTTTGTTTTTTTAATCTTATTAATTACTTGTAATGAAGAAGGCGCTTAGCATCAGGGAGATAAAGACAAACAGTACTTTCCTTCGGGGAGTTTACATTCTGCTAGTGGGAAACAGTATGTATAATGGAAGGAAGTCAAAGATTATTTGAGAAAGGAGACTATACAAACACCTGGGGAGATCAGGAAAGGCTTTAGTAAGAGGAAGCATTGAAGATAAATCTTGAAGGATAATAAGGGGTCTGAGAGGTGAAATTAATTCAGAGGCCATTCCAGAAATGAGGACTAGTTTAGGCAATGCACAGAGGCAAGAGAAGGAATGGTGAATTTGGGGAACAGCTAGTAAGTCTAGGTTGGCAGGAATGGGAATAGGGAGCAGCACGGTGAGTGAAGGGCAATAATGTAAAATAAGATTGGGAGGGTAGGTTGGAATTGGATTGTCGAAGACCAAAATACCTGTCTTAGGAATCAGGACTGGACCTGTTATTTCACTAGTATAGGAATATCCGGGTTAAGGAAACTCCTATCAATGCACATCAGCCCCTTTTCTTAGGGGCAACTTAGGCTCAGAGAGTTGTCTTTCTCAGAGTGTGGTGCAAGAACCCTTGGGATGTGCTAAAGGTGAAAACTGTTTTCCTAATAATACTAAGATGCTTTCATTTCCAATATGGCAAATATTGATAGATATAACCTATCTAAACAAAAGTTCTTTGAGGGTCCTCAATAATTTTTAAGAATAAAAAAGGGTCCTGAGGCCAAAGTGTTTGAGAACCATTTGCCTAAGCATTGAGAGGTTCAATGACTTTCCTAGAGTCACAGAACCCCAGTGTACCAGAGTCAAATCCAGGTGGTCCTGACCACTCTAAGTAATTTGTGTTTTACTCTAGAGGCAATCAGCAGACACTAAAGAGTTTCGAAAGGGAAGTGAACAGCCTTTATGTCCACTACCCCTATTTTTGTGTCATATAAATTTCTGTCCTCATTTTGGACTATAAAATGACATCCAGTTGCTGATCATTTAGTCTCAGACTGTCTCCTCTTCAGTACCAGCTTTGTCCTTTAAAGGCCTCTATTCAGCTTCTCAAGTGAGGCTAGAGATCTGAACTTGAACCTAAGAATGAATCCCTGGGTTCAGATCCCTTCTCTGACAAAATCGGCCATTTATGACGTGATTCCTTTGTGCCAGGTATTGTGCTGAGCACCGCGGATATAAACAAAGACAAAAAACCGTCCCTGCACCCAGGTAGTATACATTCTAATGGGAAAGACAATTTGTAAATAACTAGGTCCCTACAAGATATATACAGAGTAATAACCTTAGAAGTCGTGTGACCATGAGCCTGCACTACCTCTCTAAGCTTCTGTTTCCTCATCTATAAAATGCATGTGATAATACCTGTAGTACCTACCAGTTGTTTTGAAGCTCAAATGAGAAAGTGTATATAAAGAACTTTTCAAACTTTAAAGCTCTATATAAATACCTGCTGGTATTATTAATAGTAATCGTGATAATAATGAGAAGCAGTAATGTACAGAAAGAGGTATGGTGTATAGAGAATTGACTTCAGAGCCAAGAAGCCCTAGGTTCAAGTTCTTCTGACATAGACTGGCTTTGTGACCCTGGGCAAGCCACTCAACTTCTCAGTGCCCTAGGCAACACACTGAGATTCTGTGATGCTGAGGAGGTGTCACCTTGCATTGGTAGACAGTTCTATACTAGGAGCTCATACATGACTGAAATCACAGGTGTAGCCCTGATCCCTATCCCTGATGCTGTTATTGTTAAAAAAAAAAAAAAGGCATCATCAGTGGAGCACTAACTGTGGCAAGTCCTATATGCCTGGAAAGGCAGCCAGTGGGGGCCTGTTATGGACTTCATGTATAGCTACACTAGGGACCAGCTAGACTAGATTCAGATTGCTTCTCACTGCAGAGTAACATCTGCTGGGGTGGGGTCTCTTCTCTGTATGTGCATCCTCAATGTCCAACATAAGAAAGGTCTTTCAAGTAATAGGAAGGATCTACTAAACGCTTGTTGAATTGAACTAGGAAAATAGATTTTCTTTTCTGTCCTTTGTTTCCATAGGATGGAAAGGCTTTGCTAAATTCTAAGTCTTCAAAGTAAGGAGAGAGCCAGCCTTGGAGTCAGGAAGACCTAGGTTCAAGTCCTACCTCTGACACCTACTAACTTTGTTACTTTGGGCAATTCACTTCACTTCTGTGCACCCCAGGCCTTATGCTAATTAAGGTTCCAAGTTGTCAATGCTCATTGGTAGAAGGAGTTTCTAAACCAGAAGTTCTCCACAACAATGAGATCCAGACTAAAATAAGATACAGGCATAGAGGCACAACTTTGAAAGACACAAACATGTCCAGATTTGGACTTTTTTTTTTTTAAAAACATTTGGGTGTCTGTGAAGTGCTATTTTTTGACTGTTTTGCTACCCTGTCCCACAAATGAAACATGATCAATGTTAATAAATGTTCTTGGTTTATTAATGTCAGTAAATACATTTTGATGACATTACTGTCTACAGATGACGCTGAATGCTCTGCAGCACAATATATAGTAGCTTTACACAGTCAACTCTTCATTAAACAAAGAGAGAGAAGCAGACTTTGTGGTGAAATACCATTTGTATTTGATTTAGGGATGTATGTGGATATGAGATGCACCTGATGTTCTGTGAATTAATTTCGAAATGAAGCCAGCTGGGAAGACCTGACTCAGAGCCATTTTACTACGATTTTCAACAATTATTAAATCATGTTTAAGCTGGAAATAAGCAACTTTTTACTTTCTCTCGAATTCTCTTTTTTTTTTCTCTCACTCTCTTCCCACTCTCTTTTCTCTCTTTCTCTCCCACCCCTCCGACTGTCTTGTCAAACCAGCCTTCTCGCCAATCTTCTTCAGTAGCAATACTGGCTAAGTCTTCAACTTTCTTTTAGAGAATGAAATGTCAACAAGCCTCATATTTAAGTGAAGTTCTGTGTATCTGTATATTTACAAACAAGACAATCTGCCCACAGATGATTGAGGCAATTTAGGATATTTATTCTAAAAACTTGAAGAAGGATTCAGAATGGACTAATCATGTCATTTTAGCTTTAGAAATAAAAATCAATATTTAGGTAGATACTATAGTATAATTTGGGTGGTGTAACTATATTCAGCCAAACTATTAGGACAGGTATCTATCTAACTAGAAAAGGTGCCACTCTTAAAATATCTACATGGGCCTCAGTTCATAAAATGAGAAGTGGGGCTAAATGATTTCTTAAGGTCTCTTCCAGTTCTAACATACTAAAATTCTGTATCATTGCATTCCTCTAAAAATAGTCCAAAGTTAACAGAATATCATATATTTGAACAGGAAAATTTATCCTTTGGGGTAGAAGGAAACTAGGCTATGTGTGTTTTCCTTTTTGTAATCTACGACCTAATCTCTCAAGACTAATTATTTAAGTGTAACTTTAGAGACTGAGTAATAAATTGGACCTATCTCTTTCCAAAGGCAATAATGTGATTTCCTAAGAAAAAGACTATAATTGATTTTCCAGGGTCTACATTTAACTTGTCTAAAGCTGAGGACCCATCACTAACTTTGAACTGATCTTTGCTCACAACATTTGGACCTGAACTTTTTCTGCTCTTTATGAATTTTAATAGGACTTGGGTGTTGCTATTTTTTGGTAGTTATTATGGGAGAAATTACCATAATTTCTATACTCTACCACTTAGATTATAGGCACATATTTTCAGCAACTACATGAAGGCATACTTTACCACCTTACTTTGCCTGAACCAGTGACTTTTTATAAAACTCTCATTAATCCGTTAGCAACACACACATAGGCCTCTGCCCCTTCCCCTCAACAGAATGTCAGCATCAGCCCAAAACACAAGTTGGAGAATTATCAATGAGTTGAGCCAGAACTTGAACCCCAGCTATATTAACTGTCGTAAGTGTCAGTCACCTTACTATCCCATTTGTAACATTTCTAACATATGTAAATCGGTAATGCCCCAGTAATCGGGATATGCTGTGGTTTGTTGCTTGTGCTCCATTGTATTCAATTCATAGTAAATTTTTTTTTACTTTAACAAGCTTCTATTAAACACTATTTGTAGGACACTGTTTTAGGTGCCAGGAATGATATAAGCCCCTTCCCTCAAGGATCTCACAGTCTAGTAGGGAGTAGGTGGCACATTCATAAATCAGAATCAAATCATAAATCAAAATAACACATTTTTAGTGCATTTGAGAGATGCAGAGTTCAATTGAGGTCAGAGGAAAGAAGGTTGTTACCCACTTGGGGGAGCAGAAAAAACTTGATATTGAGCAGATTGGACTTTAAAATGAGTATTCAGCATAGAGATAGGGAGGGAAGAATGATTAGAGACAAGAATAAAGAAAAGCAGGTGAGTTCAAGTCATGTTCTGGGAACCAGGAGGCCGGATTGACCAGAGCAAACATCAGAGGAGACAGAATGTAGACTCAAAAATCCCAGAATGTAAGTCATTTCTAATAGTATTTCACAGAATAAGTAATGAGTTCAGTTGTTCCACAATTGGTCACCATCTTTAATGATTATAGACCATAAACAATCTGTCTAGCAGATGAAATAAGAAATATACACACATAATGTTAATACCAGTTAAAAGTGAGATCAATAACAGAAGATTAGATGCTTAGGCCATATCTTTATAGAAGGCAATGATATTTTTGCAGCAGCAGATACAAAAGATCATTTTATTTTTCCTCTCTATTTTCTCCTCAAATTAACAGAGCTGCCTTTGTACGTCAACAGTAGTTCAAATGAAATAGGCAAGAAAACCTGATGCATTTGGAGCAGAAGAAGCAAACAAATTACAATTTATGCTGATGGTTTTTCCAACACAGAAATTAATGGAAACCTGTTAAGGAAATTGATTGTGAACTTCCTTAGTAGTCAGCAGGTTTTGAAATGTCTGCAAATCATTAACACTGCCTGAATGTCTTAAAGTGTATGGTTCCTTTGCCCTGATGATGGTTGGTATATCAATGTGCCACTGGATAAAATACATTGTAGCATAGATTTTAACTCTCCTTTGTAAAATAGATACTTTCAGTAAGGCTCTAGGATTCATAGTCTCCTGAAGTAATTCCCATTTTAATGCCCATGTTGATCACACTGATTACTGAGTATTTCCCTTCATTTTTGTTTGTTTGTTTTGGTTTGGTTTTTTTGTTAGGCAGTGGGGTTAAGTGACTTGCCCAGGGTCACACAGCTAGTAAGTATTATGTGTCTGAGGTCAGATTTGAACACAGGTCCTCCTGAATCCAGGGGCGGTGCTCTATCCACTGTGCCACCTAGCTGCCCACCTTCATTTGTTAGACTTGCAAAAACAATTTCACTCTTCACTATTACTTATTAAATTAGACTTGAATCCAATTCAGCTAACTGTTTATTTAACACCTACCACTAGGATAGCTATATGGTATAGTGGATACAGCACCAAGCCTGGAGTTAGGAAGATCTGAGTTCAAATCCAGCTTCAGACCCTTACTAGCTATGTGACCCTGGGCAAGTCACTTAAATCCTATTTGTCTCAGAATGGGCACATACTCAAGAAGGAAATGGCAAACCCCTCCAGTATCTTTACCAAGAACACCCCGTGGACTTCACCATGGGGTCATGAAGAGTCAGATATGACTGAACAACAACAATCACTAGGTCCCTTGAGGCAGATAGGAAATACAGATAAAATCCAGGCCTTACCTTTAAGTTTCTCACAGTTGAGTAGAGGAATAAGACATGTGCACAAATAATTATTAGACAAAGTGATAATGTAAGTGTGTAAGAGAAATCTAAGCAAAGTACCACATAAGGTCCAAGGGGGAAAAGTTTATTATTAACTATGGATATTTGGCCTTAGATAGCTGTGTGACCCTGGATGAATCACTTACCTGCTGTCTGTCTCAGTTTCCTCCTTTGTAAATAGGGATAATAATAGCATCTGCCTCTCGGTGTTGTTGTGAGGACAAAATGAGGTAAATTTCGCAAAGTGCTTTGCTTTATATAAATGCCAGCTGTTATTATTATTATTGTTATTGTTATTATTATTATTATTATTATTATATGGGCAGGCTTTCTGGAGAAAGTGGCACTTGATTTAGACTGGAAAGAATAGGTAGGAGTTCCATAATGAGAGATGCAGTGCCCAACCTTCCTGTCAAGAACTTGAGCAAAGACAGGTAGGAATGCTTCAATCAGGTTCCAAGGACAGCATCCAAGAAGGTTACAAAGAATGTCACTATTCAGAAAACATTATTAAGTGTTCATTTCTATGCTAGGTTCTGGGGGAGATGAAAAGATGAAGATTTGGTTCCTTGCTCATTTGATTTCCACCCATGCTAGAAGAGGCTTTCTTTATGTAGGACGTGTTCACAATTAAAATATTATTGTTTAATTTTTTTTTCATTTCCTTTTTTTCAGGATGAAATTGAATCTGCTGTAAAGCAATTATTGTCACTAAAAATAAACTACAAAGAAGTTACAGGACAGGATTATAATGCCGATTCTCCTCCCACAAACTCCAGACCTAACAAGAGCGAAGAGCCTGGGACCACTGAAGGCGAAGAGGATTTTGTAGATCCTTGGACTGTGCAGACCAGCAGTGCCAAAGGCATCGACTATGACAAGCTCATAGGTACCCCTCTCTGCTTCCTCTGGCCCACCCCACTTCCCTTTTTTGCCTATTTCAAAAGTACACTGCTTTTGGTTTTCGGGTTTTTTTTTTTAAATTCAGTTCCTAAAATTGTTTCAAATTCACAAAGATAATTATCAAATTCTGGTAGTCTAGGAGACTGAGGAAATGGGCCAAATTGCCTTTTGTTATTCAGTCTTAAGTTACTACCTTTTTTTGTGTGTGTGAGGCAGTTGGGGTTAAGTGACTTTGCCCAGAGTCACACAGCTAGTGAGTGTTATGTGTCTGAGGTCAGATTTGAACTTGGGTCCTCCTGACTCCAGGACCAGTGTTCTGTCCACTGTGCCACCTAGCTGCCCTTGTTATTTAGTCTTAGGTTACCACCTCTTCTGTTGGTCAGCTAGGCATTGAGATGTTCCTGTTTCAAAGCTAAAATAATAATAGAGCACATTCATAGTACTTTAAGGTTTATTTACAAAGCATTTTCTTCACTACAGCCTTAGATGGTAGTTAGTACTAGCATTATGTCTATTTTGCTGGGAAAGAGAATGAGCATTTGTATAGGGCCTAAGATGTGCCAGGCACTGTGCTAAGTGCTGTTATTAATATTATCTCATTTGATCCTCACAACACCCCTAGGAAAGAGGTATTACTATTATCCTCAATTTATAGTTGAGAAGACTGAGGCAAACAGAGGTTAAATGATTAGCATGGGGTCACCCACCTAAGAAGTGTCTGAGGTCAGATTTGAACTAGGGTCTTCCTGAGCTTAGCACTCTATCCACTGAGCCTCCAGCTTGCCTAAAAGGAAACTTGAGGATCAGAGAGGTTGAGTCCATTGTCACACAGCTAGTAAGTGTCAAAGTTCAGGTTTGAACTCAAGTATCCAGGTTGAGCTTTCTTTCCCTCTGTGCCAATGGGATGCAGCGTCCAAGGTCCTGCTTAACCCAGAGGCCTCAGGGACCAGGCCAGCCAGAAACAGCAGCAGTTTGTTCTCATCAGCCCAGGGTTGGATACAGATAGTGAATTATTTGGGGTTTGTTGGGGTTGTTTTTTTTAACCAAAGCAGATTACCAAGCCTTCTGCCTAGGTGTGGAAGGGCTATGGTATTCATTCATTCATTCATTTACGGGAAGAGGGAGCATTCATTTGGATAAAGTATCTTGTGTCCCTGAAGTACCAAATGAACAATTGACAATTGGCAGTCTAGATGTTGTGGGAATTCACCTGAGCAGTTCTGAGTTTGGACAATGTGTACTGTGCCGGCAGTTTTCCCTTTTCCTTTGTTTCTCAGAAGCAGAGGGGTGTGTCATCTCCCCTCTCTGTATCTCTCAGCCTGTGGAAATGAGGCTGCAGTAGATCTGCCTCACCAGAGACTGGAGAGAAGCAAGGTAGGAAAGGGATTAACCCACAGACGTAGTTGTAGCCTCCTTCTGGAACTCCTCACATGAGGGTTGGAGAACGATCAGAGAAAACACTTTATCTTTGAGAAAAGAAGGGACGCTCTGGGACAACTAATGATCTTTACCTTTGTCATTCCTCTCTATACTATTCGTGTTACTTTTGTCACAAGAGTTTTTGTGAGGATCACACAAGATAAAGAACGTACAAATTTTGTGAACGGTTTACCTCTGTTTACAGCTGTTTTTATTTTTTCTATTTTACTATTTGATCTCTAAACAATATTCTTATCAGTGAGACCCAAGCCGCTAACTAAAAGACAGTCCCTTTTTCGAGGTAGAGAAAAGTGGTCTAAACCACCAACAGGAGACAGCCTGCTTACTGTTAGTTGCTGATGGCAGGAGATTTGGGTGGAGTCAGGTTATGGGAGAATAAAGAAGTCCTGAGCCTGACCTTTATGGAGTCTAGAGTGTAACAACTCATATTTGACTTTCCTAGCCTTATTTTGTTACTGTCTTTCACACAGTCTACATTTCTACCAAACTGAACTACTCGTAGACCGCAATCTCATCTTGCTCTCCCCACCTCCATGTATTTATACCCATTGTACTGCCTAGAATTCCCAACTTCTCTCTTCAGAAAGAGAATATTTCTCACTCTAACTTATATTATGGTTATTCAGATTACTTATTCAGATTGCTCATTCTATGACTCATCCCCTAACAAGATTGCAAGTTTCTTGGAGTTAGGGATAGTATTATTTTTAATCTTACTGTCAATAATACCTTTCACATAATATAAATCAAGTTGAATTGACTTAATTGATTTCTAGGCACAATGCCAGCTAAGGAAGCTGTATCTATTTGTCTTACTAGTTTTTTCTGCCTTTTTCTTTTTTTTTTAGTTCGATTCGGAAGCAGCAAGATTGACAAAACACTGATAGATCGAATTGAGAGGGTCATAGGACAAAAACCACATCATTTCCTGCGTAGAGGCATCTTTTTCTCTCACAGGTGAAATTTTATTTTCCCATACACCTCTTCATCCTGCCTGTTCTATCCTACAGAAGGACAAGCACATAAAATATGTGTCATTGCCCACATTTAGCATTTCCCATATAACTAACCCTTGTATGGTCTTTTTTCAATTCTGTGAGTTAGCTATGGAGAAAAAAGGGAACAGAAATTTCATGAAGCTAACCCAGGGAAAAAGGAAGCATTTTGATTATAGTGGCTTGAGTTCACCTGATATGCTGCTATGATAGAATCAGCAGGACATCACTTAAAAATCCCCAAATTTTTTATGAAGACAGTGTGGTGTATTCAGAAATCCTGCTGAGCCAGGATTTGAGTCTAGGTAACAATGTTACTTACTACTCAGTCCTATAATCTCACCCTTATATAGTAAGTATAGTATAATTTTTTTAAAATATTGAACCAGATCACTAGAGGGCCATAAACTGTAGCATAACACAAATCTATCAAAGGTAATAAGCCCCAGGTCACCAAAGAGACCAGGAGACCTGCACTGATAGGAACTTTAGAGATAGGAACTTTTTCAGACCTTGTCCCATATGTGGAATTCCTGGGTATGCCTTATTCCCATCACCTTGAAATAAGGCTATAGAACTGGTAACAACTTTGAGTTTAGTCTGGCCCTATGAAACCAGCTACCTGGTATTTACTAATACAGATACCTAGCCAGAACGCCCTACCACCTCCATATCTACTACCCTAGTATTTAAATTGACATGCCACCGCCATATTGATGCTGTACTCAGTCATCATGGGTCCATCTAGGGTAGAAATTTCATCATCTGATTCTTTCCCCATCCTATGATTTAAACTCACAGTCAGTGCTTCACTTATGCCTATGATTCATATTCCTAACCAACAATCCCAACAGTGTTGTCTTACAAAAGGCCTATTCTGATGCCTCATCATGGTGTGGAGATGACCCTGGGTTCTCAATGGCTCTATCAGAGTGTAAGCTCTGACATATTCTTCCAGGCTAGAAAGGCTTAGACTACAGGCCCAGCCATAAATGATGTTGTGTCTTGCCCAAGGAACAGCCTAGCTTGATCACTAAATTTGGTGATTAAGAAGCTCATCACCAAATTGACCTGAAGGTGATGAATTTTTCCAACAAAAACTACCAAGCCATTAGAGTGATTTCAACTTATGTAGTTGAAAAGAATACCCATACTCACAATCCTAGATCCTTGAAGCATTAAAGTGTAGTGATTTACATATGTGGTATTTCTCCCTACTAAAGTATAAATTCCTAGTTACACATTAGATGCACAATAAAAGTTTATTGGATTTGAATTCTAAATGAAGACCACTGTCTGATTTGGAAACATGTAAGGAATTAATGCTCTTAAAGAATGTCAGTTGTATTGCTTACTTCACCTTTTAGAATGATTAAAAACTGTCTTAAATCATTCTTTTTAAAAATCCAATTAGAATGGAAGCCATTTAATTAGGAACTATGGCATTCATTTATTTGCCTGATTTTTCACTTTCAGATGCAAATTTTTTACTTGCCTTCCTCTGATATTTTTTCCAAGAAAGTCATACCATTTGCTCTGTTCTCTTCTCACTTAGGGACATGAACAACATTCTTGATGCATATGAAAATAAGAAGCCATTCTATCTTTATACAGGCAGAGGGCCCTCTTCTGAAGCAATGCATGTAGGTCATCTCATCCCATTTATTTTCACAAAGTAAGTAGCACCATCTTCTAGAGGTTTTTTTTTATTATCTCTATTATACTTTATTATAATTATTATGTTTATTATCATCTAATAATATAAATGAGAATTATATATTTTATTGTAACTTTAATTATTAAGTTCAAACAGTGTTTGAAATATATATATGACAATATTATTTTTGTAAACTCACCTGGCAACCAAATTGTTTGGTACTTAGAAATATAGAATCAAAAATTTGGATGAAACCCAGAATCTTAGAGATATCATGAAACCATATGAAGTCTAAGTTGGATGACACCTCAGAATTATAGAATGGGAATTAAAGTGAACCTTAAAGAACATCTAGATTAACCCTTACTTGAAGCATGAATCTGTTCAACAGCATCCCCAAAATGGTTGTCCTACCTCTGCTTGAATATTTTCCTGGGCTTGTTTTAAATAAAGAAATGAATGTCTTTGTGATCAGTCTTAAGATAAAGGTTGTACAGCTCACAGGGGAAGTGCAGAATAATTTGGAGGTAAAGCAATCTTAATGCTTTAATTCAGACTATTCACTGGAAATTCAAATGCTGAAGCTAAAGCTTAAATACTCTGGCCACATAGTGAGAAGACAGGAATCACTGGAAAAGACCCCGATGTTAGGAAAGATTGAAGGCAAAAAGAAAAGGGGATGGCAAAGGATGAGATGCATACATAGTGTCCTGGAAGCAACAAATATGAGCTTGGCCACACCTCAGGAGTATAGAAGGTCCCGGTGTGCTGTGGTCCATGGGATCATGAAGAGTCAGACACAACTGAACAAAACTGTGTTAAGATACTGTTTGGTGGAGAAAGGTAGTAATGATTTGGGGTCTGTATTTTTTAGGTGGCTGCAAGATGTATTCAATGTTCCCCTGGTTATCCAGATGACTGATGATGAAAAATACCTCTGGAAAGAGCTAACACTTGAGCAAGCATATGGCTATACAATAGAAAATGCAAAGGATATCATAGCCTGCGGTTTTGATATAAATAAAACTTTCATCTTCTCTGACCTGGAATACATGGGGTAAGTATAAAACACTTCACTATCTTTTTGATACCTACACAGTCCAACAGTTTACTCAGGGGTGAATGTACCCAGACTCAAAACATGCAAAGCAACTTATTAAAGTCCAAGACCTGGGTTTGAGTCCTGGCTTTGATCCTTACTGACTCTGTAGCCCCTGACAAGTCCCCTCACTTCCGTGAGCCTTCTGCCTCACAGGGATCTTCTGGGGACAGTGCTCTGTAAAAACACCAGAAACAGGAGCTCTCACTATTATTATTACTAGTGCTCTCTTATAAAGGGATCTTATGTTGGAACTGAAATTGGAGCTTTTCATTTCGAAGAGACTAGAAAGATTTAGAAAACTAAAGCCTATATTTCTGGAATACTTCTTCACCTTATTTAAAACTTGTGCTACTTTCTTCCCTTTTTTGATATTTGACTACAAATCTCCATTCTTAAAATTCTGTCATAACAAGTCAGTCCCTTTTTGCTGGTTTTTACTTTTAAATAGGTAAAGTCTTATTAAAATCAAGTTTGGAGAACATCCAAATAGCTTTTAATAGAGAGAAATTTTATTATAAGTATGTTGTTTTAAACATTATTCCAGTAATCCAAGACAATCATGGGGGGGGGGGGGAAGGCCTGACTCTCTGTAAAGAACTAAGAAAATCTTCAGGATTCAGTAAGAGAAAGCAGATAGTTTCAGGTACATAGATGACTCCTCCCTCTTTTGTCCTTATTTTCCTACATCCAAATTTAGGGATTCAGGTGGATTTTTCAGATGGAAATGATGGGCTCTGGATTTACAATCTGAGGTCCTGGGTCTGAATCTCAGCTTGGCAATTTACTACCTGTGTGACTGTAGGCAAATCACACAGTTTCTTCATCTGTAAAATGAAGAGAAGTTGGCATCAAACCAAATAATGTTTGAGGTCCCTTCTGGCTTTCATCTGTGATCCTATGAGAAAAGGTTTGCCCATGTTCGCACAGCTATTACGAGCTGAGCCATTTGTTGGAGTAATGAGTTTAATTGAATTTATTTCTTTAACTTACCCAGTTTTTTGTGAGTCTTAGGAGGAAAAAGGACATGAGGGAGTGTGGTACAATAGAGAGAGGGCTGGGTTTGGAGTTGGTCTTGGATTCAGATCTTGGCTTTGCCACTTAATACTTGGATAATAAGTCACTTAATCTCTCTGAGCCTGAGGAAACCTCAGTTTCCTTGTCTGTATAAAGAGCAGGTTGGACTAAATTACCAAGAAGAGCCTTTCCAGTTCTAAATCTACGGTCCTTCCTGTTAAGAGAACAATTCAGACTGTATTATTGAGTGTCTGCTCTGCACGTGTTTAGGTACTGCACGTGTTTAGGTACAACTCAATAGTGACGTGATATGGTACAAATAATACTAAGTTACAAGTCTGGAGACCAGGGTACTTGCCTGGCTCTGTCCACATGTGCCTGTGTATTTGACTTGTGCCTCATCATTTCCCCTGCTGGGCCCCAGTGTCCTCATATGTAAAATGAACAGTTTGGACCAGCTTTCTTTACTCTCTCCCTATCAAGCAGCACAAATGTAAAATCAGTCATGTTTGTTATGAAAAGTAATTGTTAACTGACAGAACAAAGGAAGGATTTGTCATACGGGGTATAAAATGTAATCCTGTCACCAGGCACTGATTGCATTTCAGTCCAGCAGCCATTTATTGATCTGCAGCAAGAGGCCCTGTGCTTAGCATTGAGATTACAAATATAGATTCAACTCTTTTTCAAGTCTAATATAGGAAAACACCCATACACAAATAACTGTGATACCAGGAAGAATGAGGTAAGGCCTGAGTAAAGGGCTAGGAGAAGCATGGGGGAGAGAGAGCTTTGCAAAGAGCACTAGATTCTAGGGTCACAAGATCAGGGCCTGGCTCCTGGTTTTCCTGCCTCTTGTCGCATGTGACTTTGAACAATTCATGGCGTCTCTTGAGCTCTCCATCTTTTCCCTACCTAGAAAATGAGGGCATTATATTAGGTTCTCTCAAAGATCCCTTCCAACCCTAACTCCTACGATCTTAAGAACTTTCCTCTTGTGATTATTCGTGTTGTTCATGAACCCTCCCATTTTCTCTTCCATATTCCAAAAGGCATGGCAGGAATGGCCCCACACTTGAGAGCTGTTAGGCACATAGGCATGCAGTGTTCCTCCTCAGCCTGTGCAGTTGGTTCTCAGGACAGCTGTTGGCGGGATCCCCTTCCCTGTTCCCATGGAAATGGGGCACTATTTTTCAATAAGAAAGGAGAGCCAGCATTTTTTTTTTTTGCTTGTTGCAAAGCTCTTGGTCTTTTTAAGAATTGTGCTAATTGAGTGTCAAAAATTCTGTTTCTCTTTAGTATGTTTTCAACTCTTTTGCACAGGTTCCCCTCTCTGGCCTTCAGGTTCTTCATCAGTAAAAGGAGGGCAGGGGTTATAATAAATGACCCTAACATCCTGTCCAGCTCTAAAATTCAGTAATTCCAAAGCCTCTTCCAGGACTGACAGTCCAGGTTCCATGACTTTTCTTCCCATCGTGACCTTAGACATTTCCCAGGGCTTTTAGATGTTTCTAAACTAAAGTACTTTTGTTTAGGAGAAGTAGGACAGTGTAATGAATGTCTATCACACCTACGCATTCTCATCCTTCCTGCCACCATCCAGGATCAGGCTCTAGTACCTCACACTCTGTCTATAAGAATAGTTAAAAATGAATACTTGCATTGTGCTTTAGAGTTTACAAAATGTTTTTCATAATTGATGATGAAGCATAGCACCAGCCTTTTATTAGAGAGGTGAAGCATCTGAGGTATAGAATGAGACATACATTTTCAGACTTGGCCAGAATGTTCTTTGTTATGCTTGACTGTGCTCATTGGTATCAGGATGGGGCTTTCAGGAAATGAGGGGTGGAGGGTGAGTGATGTTAGTGGGTCGAGATAGAAATGCAAGAAAGAAGAGCAGTGAGAGAGAAAAGAAAGTGTGAGGGAGAACATCAGTGTAACATTTGTAAAAACACAGAAGGAAACACAAGCAGGGACATTTTGTTAAATTTGACTTATACTTCAAAACTATTCAGCAAGTTCTCAGTTTCATATACAAATCAGTCCCCTTTTGTTGGTCTTTGTATATTGAAATATTTCTGTTTGGTAATGATTAAGCTTATAAATTAAGGGGAAAAAATAGTGTTTTTCTCACAAGAGCCCTGAAAGGCAGGTAGTTTAGGCATTGTGATCCATGTGTTGCCAGTGAAAAACCTAAAGTCACAGAGTTAGTAAATTTCAAAGTCAGTCAGCAGTCAAAAAGCAGATATTAAATGTTTAACTCTGTGTGCTAAGTGCTGGGAGCATAGAGAAAGACAAAAACAAGCCCCAGTGCTCACAGTTTAATCGGAAAAACAATGTGCAGATACCCAGATATATATAAGATATGTACAGAGTAGATGAAGGTCATCTGAATGAAGCTCCAGTAGCTTGGGGGGTGGGGGGGAGTTCTTGCAGAGGGTGATGTGTGAGCTGAGTCCTGAAGGAGGGAGATGCAGAGGCATCTGAGGGGAGTGAGAGCCGGGGGCCAGCTGATGCTGAGGCTCAGAGGTGGAAGATCCTGTGCAAGGAAGGACCAACTGGATCATAAAGTACATAGAGAATGAACAAAGTGGAAAGACACTGAGAAGGGGACAGACTGGGAAGGACTGTAAGTGTGAGAGGTAATAGTGAGCCAGGAGACCAGGGGGTTTTAACCTTGTTGGTGTTGTGGACCCCGTGGGCAGTGTAGGGAAGCCAGTGGACCCATTCTCACAAGAATGTTTTTAAATGCAGAAAATAAAATGCAGGGGCTGACAAAGGAAATCAGTTCTATTGAAATACAGGGATCAAAATATTTTTTAAACAACCGATTCAAGGATCCCAGGTTAAGAACCACTCTGCTGTACTTTATTGAGCTGGGTGGGGTGCCACAGGCAGTGCTACATGTCAGGAAAATCACTTTGGCAGCTTAGTGGAGGATAGTAGCTCGAGTAGGACTCGAGCTTGTTTTCTGACTACCCATCTGATAGTCTCTCCACTTTTCTTTCTTTTATAATAGCCTTTTAAAAGGTATCCCTACCTCCAAACTCTCCCGTTACACACCATCTTATACATGCTGTCAATTAATCTTATTAAAACACATCTCTGCTCTTATCATTCCCCTGCTCAAAAAGTGTGAGTGACTGCCACTCTCTAAGGCAGATAGGGGACTTAGCAAATAGAGCAGTAGTCTTGGAGTCAGGAAGACCTAAGTTCAAATCTGACCGTGGGCACTTACTAGCTATGTGACCCTGGGCAAGTCAGTTAACCCTGTTTGCCTCAGTTTCCTCAACTATAAAATCAGATAATAACAGCATTTACCTCACGGAATTGTAGTGGCAATCACATGAGATAATATTTCTAAAGCACTTAGTACAATGCCTGGCACTTAGATGCTATATACTGTTTATTCCCTTCTCTTTCTCTTTTTCTACCATATAAAATTCAGACTCCTTAGCCTGACATTTAAGGTCCTCTGGGCTCCCAACCTATCTTTCTACTCTTCTTCCTGTACTCTGTGCTTCAGTGAAACTGAATTATTTACATACCCAAAACTTCTTTGTTGTTGTTGTTCCTGTGCCTGTACACAGGTTTATCTCTCCTTTTTCTTCCCTTCCCCTTAACTGTCCTGATGGAAATTCCACCCTTCCTTCAAGGCCAGTATCAAATATCACTTCTACCATTAAGCCTTCCCTGATCATGCAATCAAAAGTGATCTCTCCCTACTCTGAATTTCTATAATACTTTGTTTATGCCACTCAGATTACAATACCTTACATTTATATAGCGCTTTCTCATTTTAGTCCCAAAACAACGATTTGAGGCGCAAGTATTATACATTTTATCATGCCAACTTTATAAATGAGAAAACCGAGGAGGGTCGGGAAGGTTAAGTTGAGTTAGCTATGGTTGCACAATTTCCAAGAATCAGAGGTGAGAATTAAACCAGGTCTTCCTAACTTAAAGTACCACATTCTGTACCCTTTGCCATGGCACTCACATACTGAAATATTGTTTTCCAGGTTTGCCTTATTTACTCTGACAAGACCATAAACCCCTTGAGGTGGGGAATACATCACAGAGGTCATGCTACCATTGATTCCCTTCTTCATCTGTCTTTCCCCTATAGCACATAGCACAGGCCCTTGCTCAAGGCATTCAAAAAAATATTTCTTAAATGAATATAGTATGAAATTCTTTATTAAAGAAAACCCAGTTCTGTCTTAGAATGATTTCAATACCTATCACTAATGTTTAAAAAAAAAAAAGAGAGAGATAATCATCCCCCTTTCTGAATTAAAAACTCCCATTATTCTCCCGCACTTGAGGCACCATCAATACACTCACCTTCGGATGAGGCTATATTATTTGTATAATATAAATCTCCCTCATCTATTAGTTGTCTGAATTTAAAGAACGTCCTTTCACTGTTTGTTCATTACAGTATATGAATCATTGTTGTCTGTCCCCCCATATATCAGTTTTGAAAGAAAAAGGTCAGTGCCTGATTAGTGAGCTTAAGGATTTAATTATTAATAAATACCCATGAAGATGCATGATTTTTTTTTAATGATGAAGAATGTGATTTTTTTATGTTAATTAAACTCATAGGTTTGTAGAATTTAGGGTGGAAGTGACCTTAGAGTTCATCAAATACAGCATCCCCTCTCCACTCCCAGGAGCAGTAAATGACAAAGCTGGTATTGGAATCTCTCCACTTTACCAAACTGCTCACAGCTGGGCAGTGCTGGGGCACAGAAGCTTCAAAGGAGTCATGATTTTGTACGTGCAGGTGCTCCTTCCATCAAAACAGATTCTACCTCTTGTATGCCTTAATAGACCGTGTACATGAGTTTCTGTGACCCTCCCTCCCTCCCCCCCAAAAAAAAATTCTTACCACCTGATGTCCAACCTTCTCATGAATAGCCTTGCTGAACTTAACTCAAACAGTCTCTAGATAATAAATATGCAGTCAGTTGCTGGACCCACATGCACAGTCTTTCCAATTTTATGAGACCTGCGAGAGTCAAGGTTCTTCTAGCATAGACTTCAAGAACCCAAAGTCCCTCCAAGCTGTGACAGAGCATGAGAGGAGGATTTGCGTTGAGGTGACCTCTGCATCTGACAGAATCAGTCAGCTATGTGTCTCACATAATCACTGTACAAGACCCAAATTGATCTAAGGTCAAACTTCATGTTTACTTCTAGTTGGTGCTGCTTAGATATCAGTTTCTCATCCTGAGCAACCCCAAGACCAGAATTTTATTTTTGACTTTTCTTTGCAGGTCAAGTCCAAGTTTCTATAAGAATGTGGTCAGAATCCAGAAGCATGTCACCTTTAATCAAGTAAAGGGCATCTTTGGCTTCACTGACAGTGATTGCATTGGTAAGATCAAATTCAGCTGTTCTAGAATCATCTATTTTTAGGTGAAAGATAATCTAATTATGTAAACCAGCTATATTCTACACTAAGTACTGCTGTCTTTGTGGAGACATCAGGGGAACACTAGAATAGCAGCTTAAAATAACAGAATAATGTATGTAATTTAGGAGAATGAAATGAGAGGGTATTTGGTGCCTACTCCAGGGAATAGAGATTCTTCCTGAAATTTCTACCATGTCAACTTATCTCATTATATATTAAACACAGAGATGAGTAATGCTAGAACACAAACAGCTGGTATTATGCCTTCAGTCAGGTCTATTTATCCTTATGTGAAATTTTACTTTATTTCGAATATTTGTTGATCCTGTAGAAGCTTCATCCATTAATTTTTTGAAAGAAAGAGAATTGAATAATTGTCTAGTTTCCTTCTTTGTCCTAAGATCAGTGAGGTATAATGTATGTAGAAAATGTTTTATAAATTGTAAGTGCAAGTTACTATTATATTATAATTCTAGGGCTGAGACAAACTTGGGGGATCATAGAATTATAGATAGGTAAATCAGAAGGAATCATAAAATCATGAAAACGTAGAATATCATTGGAGGGTCCTTGGAATATCAGACTAGGAAGATCTTAGAAATTCTCTTCATTTTACACAGGAAGAAACAGACTTAGAGAATGGAAGTGTCTTTCATAGAAATCATCTGGGTTTTTATTTCAGTATTTTGAATCCCATCATCACTTCACTCCAGGGTTTTCCTAGCCTTTAAAATTTTCACATATTTATAAAAACCAGCACTGTTATTTATAATCTGTAATTATCAATAGGATGGACCCAGCCCATATGACCCATTCCTTCATTTGAAGTTTAGTAAATGAGTTGAGCAGATATCTTCCGTGGAAGGAATAGCCGATGCAGACCATCAGTACATTTTTAATCACGTATCCTCCAATCAGCTCATGCACTTGATCAGCTACATTGAAGGCTTGCAATTATAAAATCATGGCTTCAGAGAGCTTTAAAGTTGGAAGGGACCTCAGAAGTCATCTACTTCAACATATGTTCACTCCCAAGAAGATTATTTCCTGGTCTTTTAAGTCCAAGTTAATGTTGTGAGTCAATTCCTATTGATCCGTGATAATGAATTTGCAGTCATTTGACTTAGCAACCCAAATATCTTCTATCAAGCAGAATAGTCCATCTTGAATTTGTACACCAAAAAGTGTATACCGCTCCCCCAAGAATGTCCCTCATTGAGACATGATTCAGAGGAAAGACTGGGAGTTGGAGGACGCTTGGAATTAAGTCCTGGCCTTGCCACTAACTAGCTGTGTGACCTTAGACAAGTGGCTTCTTTTCTTTGGGTTTCAGTTTCCACCTTAGTCAGCTGGGGGAGGCTAAGTGCTATTTTTGGAGCAGGTCAAAAAAAATATCGTGTGGATAGAATAATAAGTAAGGAAAGTCATTTAGAATGGTAAGGAAAGCCCTCTTGTAGGGAAAAAATGGCTTTGGTGAGAAATCAAAGCTATCAATAGTCATGAAAAAAATGCTCTAAATCACTATTAATTGGAGAAATTCAAATTAAAACAAGTCTGAGGTACTACCTCATCTATCAGATTGGCTACCATGACAAAAAAGGAAAATACCAAATGCTGGAAGGGATGTAGAAACAACTAGGACACTAATTCACTGTGGGTGGACTTGTCAACTACTCCAGCCATTTCGTAGAACAATTTGAAACTATGCCCAAAGGGCTATATGTATACCCTTTGACACAGCAATACCACTACTAGGTCTGTATCCTAAAGAGAACAGAGAAAAGGGAAAAGGGCCTATTTGTACAAAAATGTTTATAGCAGCTCTTTTTGTGGTGGCAAAGAACTGGAAATTTAAGGGTGCCCATCCATTGAGGAATGGCTGAACAAGTTGTATGTGATTGTGGTGGAATATTATTGTGCTATAAGAAATTATGAAGGGGATGGTTTCAGAAACACGTGGGAAGACTTAAATGAACTGGTGCAAGGGGAAGTGAGCTAGGAGAACATTGTACACAGTAACAATGTGAAAGACTTAGCTACTCTGATCAATACAATGATCTAAGATAATTCCCAGAGGATTCATGATGAAAAATGCTATCTGTCTCTAGAAAGAGAACTGATGAACTCAGAGTGCAGATTGAAGCATACTTTTTTTCATTTTCTTTTATCTTTCTTGCTTATTTTTTTTTGCAATGGCTAATACGAAAATATGTTTTGTGTGACTTCACATGTAAAATGAGTATCATAAGGGGAAGCTAGGTGGTCCAGGGATTAGAGCACTGGCCCTGGAATCAGGAGGGCCTGAGTTCAAATCCAGCCTAAGACACTTACTAGCTCTGTGACCCTGGGCAAGTCCCTTAACCTCAATTGCCTCAAAAAAAAAATAGTATCATACTGTGTCCATTCTCAGTGGGTGGGGAAGGGGCTGAAGAGAGGATTTGGAACTCAAAATTTTTTTAAATGAATGTTAAAATTAAGTATATCAAATTTAAAAAAAAAAAGAATAATGGCTTATAATAGCATCCTATCTTGATGCTTTAACTGCAAAATGTTAAATGAAGAAATATCTACCTCTTCTTTTAAATACAACTTAGAGCACAGTTTAGCCAGCTGGGATCTTGTGGACTTCTGTGAACTAGAGTCTGTAATTATTGACTTGCCAAAGCCTAAATATCCAGATTGGTCACTAGATATTCATAGCAGAGTTACCTAGCAGCAACAGGAGTTATCCTGAATTGAAAAAAAATTTGTATTTTGGGTTTTTTTTTCTCCTTCAGGAAAGATTAGTTTTCCTGCTATCCAAGCTGCCCCGTCCTTCAGCAACTCATTTCCACAGATTTTCAAAGATAGGACGGATATCCAGTGTCTTATTCCATGTGCCATAGACCAGGTGAGTAACCATTGCATCCCACTTAGTTTGATCAGCTTTAGTTTCTATGTGCTGTCAAGATTTTAATTGGAGTAACCTCTTAAGTATTATTCATTTATTAAAGTCTGGGCCTAGGCATGGGAGACCTGTAACTGGTGCAAGGTGAATTAAACAGAACCAAGGAAAGACTATGCCTAATGACTACAACAGCATAAAGTACCAAAAAATCCCAGACATAAATACTATGTAATTGTCATGACTAGAGTGGAAAGAGTTGAGGAAATGGGCCTTTTCCACAGAAGGGTCTGTGGGTGTGGAGCGTGACACGTAGTATCAGATTTGGTTTAAGTTTTGGTTAGTTTTGTTGACTTTATTTTTATTTTTTCGTTGTCAAAAGGATAAGGGAGGGTAGGATGATACATTTGAAAATGAAAGCCATAGAAAAACAAAAGATATTGATTTTTTTCTAACCTGAGACTAAAATGCAAGGATAGAAAATGACCAGCAGCCCAGTGCAGCAGAAAGGACCCTGGACTTGAATGTGGGAGACCTGGCTTTGAATCCCATCTCCCACATGCTGTGTTCTAGACTAGAAGCAGTTTTTTGTAGTAGGAAGTGCTTTGATCTAGGATTTAGAATTCCTACATTCAAGTCTAGGTCCAGACTGACTTTAGACAATTACATTTACTTTCCTGATCCTAATTTTCTTCATCGATAAGATAGGGATAATGATATTTGCATTCCCTCTATCAGGGTTGTTATAAGGAAAGTGCTTTGTAATCCTTAAAGCAGTATGTAAAAGTTATTTCATTGTCTGCCTCATATCATCTCTGTGCTTATTCTTCTCTTTTTCGTAGGATCCTTATTTTAGAATGACAAGAGATGTGGCCCCAAAGATTGGCTATCCCAAACCAGCCTTGCTTCATTCATCCTTTTTCCCAGCTCTGCAAGGAGCCCAGACTAAAATGAGTGCCAGTGACCCCAATTCTTCCATCTTCCTTACTGACACAGCCAAGCAGATCAAGAACAAGGTAAACACCTCCCTTGGCTGAAAAACAGCCTGTAGAAGGCAGCCTCTATGTGGCTCAGTGGATGGAGTCCTGGAGCTAGAGTCAGGAAGATCTGAGTTCAAATCCCACCTCAGATACTTACTAGTTTTGTGACCCTCCACAAGTCACTTAACCTCTGTTTGTTTTAATCCCTTGGAGAAGGAAATGGCACACTGCTCTAGTATCTTAGCATGGTCCACGTGATCACCAAGGGTCAGACATGACTGAACAACAGTGTTTTAGAGAAACATTCTCTTTTGTCCCTGATGAATATTTATTGATCTTTAAGCATTCACCATTGTAATAATTTATGCTACTAGAATAACTATTAGTCTAACTTCCTCTCCCCATTGGATTTGAAGTATTGGGTACTATTTCTGGAAATCAGGTAGGCCATGTCAACACCCATATCCAGAAATGTATTGGAATGTACTAAAGTACATTCTTCTTTAGTTGTCTTGTATGGGATTCTTTCCCTGCTCCTTTTTTTATGACTCCCTTTTGTATGTGAGTTCATAAACTCTTCGAGTTCAAAGGGGACTGAAGAGATGATTCTAGGGACTCAAAAGTTTTGTGAACAAAGTCCACATTCTGTCAGACCCTACCAGTCTGGAAAGGTACTACACATGGACAGTATGTCTGGCCCCAGACTGTGTGTATTTGTCATCAGAGAACCAGACTTAAGTACAGAGAATTTATCATCAAATGGAGGAAATGTTGAAATTATGAAGATCATCCACACCCCCAAAAAATTGTTTTTTTTCTTTGTGTCCATCGTACCTATACTAGTAGTCCCTTGCAGCTTATAGACACTTAATAAGCTCTTATTGGATTTAATTGACTCTCTGAAGGAATACATCCTTCAGAGGTGGGTCTGTGATCTTTCTTAGAGAAATCCCTACGCCAGTGAAATCCTAGATCCTTGGAGTGTTGAAATCGTATTGATGGACATTCAATGGATACTGCTGTTTTTATATTTTCTGTTGGCTTATTTGTTTGTTTGAGACAGTCTCACCTTATCTCACCCAGGCCAGAAGTGCAGCAGCCACTCACAGACCCACTGCCAATATTAATTGGCACGGAAGCTTTCACTTGCTCCGTTTTTTCCCACCTAGGCCAGTCTGCCTCTCCTTAGGCAGGGGCACACCTGACTGGTACCAACCTTAGTAGAGGCACTGGTTTTGTGTGAACCCCAAGGAAGCTCAAAATTCTCACACTGGTGATCCACCAGCCTCACCTCCTCCAGAACAGGGGCTTCGGGCATGTGCCACCACTCTCAGCTCACTCTTTTTAGCTAAAAATATTCATTTATCTGAATTACCACAGATTACATTTTCATGAATTTTGTTCTGCAGGTCAACAAACATGCATTTTCTGGAGGTAAAGACACTGTAGAGGAACACAGACAGCTTGGAGGAACTGTGACATTGACGTGTCTTTCATGTACCTCACCTTCTTTCTGGAGGATGATGACAAACTCGAGCAGATAAGACAGGTATTTCTGAGGGCATAATCTGGCAGTGCATGCCTTCTCTGTCAGGCTTTCTGTATAGCTAGAAAGCAGTTTGATTTACACAACATTAGAAATATTTCAAATAAATGGGCAAGACGCTTGTTCTCTTCTGTCTCAAGGACTGAATTTTGCTACTTAATTTGGCTTCAACCAAAGTTTGATTATAACTGAATTTGGTTGGTAATATATGTAATATTATATTTTTGACAGATTCTTTTAAAACACCTATCATATGCAGAATATTATGTTCAGCATGAGGAGAATTAAAAAGTTTAGATAAGCCAATATCCCTGCCCTCAGGAAGCTTTCACTTGAGTAAATAGGACACTTATATAGATAACTACAATACATAATAAGTAAGAAACGAAAGCAGCACGCTGACACCTCGTAGAGGAATGGTCATTACCAGCTGACAGGGAAGGTGGTCCTGGAGATGGTGCATTTGACTTGGGTTTAAAGGACAGATACAATTCAAGGAGGGGCCTTGCCATAGGGGCAGCATAAACAAAGACATAAAGAGGCAGGAGAGAAGCACAAGTCACATCAGGGTGACTACAGGTAGGACAGTATAGGACCAGATTTGAGAGAGCCTTAACCACCAGGACGGGAAATTTGAAACATATTCCTTAGGCAATAGTGGTCCAGCTGTAAAAATGTTCTAAAATGGGAATCCTTAAGCTGAGATTAATGAACATTTTTTTTAAATTTTATTAATTTATTTTGATTTATGAATAATCACTTCCATGTGCTTTTGAGTTTAAAATTTTTCTCCCCCTTCCTCCTCACCACCCTCCCCAAGACAGCACACAATCTGATATAGGCTATACATTTACATTCCTATTAAACATATTTTCACATTAGTGGTGTTGTAAGTAAAAATTAAAACTAATAGGAGGAACCATCAGAAAGAGGAAACAAAACTCAACAGAAGAGAAAAAAATGATAACGATTCAACCTTTGTAGTTCTTTCTTTGGATGTGGATAGCATTTTCCATCACGAGGCCTCTAGAGATGTCTTGGATCCTTGTATTGCTGGGAAGGATTAGGTTTATCAGTATTAGTGATCACACAACGCGGCTGTTATTGTGTATAACGTTCTCTTGGTTCTGCTCACTTCACTCAGCATCAGACCATACAGGTCTTTCCAGGTTTTTGTGAAGTCAGCCTGTTCATCATTTCTTATAGCACAATAGTATTCCAATTAATGAACATTTAAAAAAATATATGTTGATAACCATATTTCAAAAAATAACTGATTTCCTTGTACCTATGTATTTGATTGTGTACATTTGAAAATATTATTCTGAGAAGGGATCCTGTAGGCTTCATCAGACTGTCAAAACGGTCCATCACATACAAAAAAAATTTTAAAACCCCATTCTAGAGATAAGAACTAAGAGGAACTATTTTAAATGTTTAGATTTTGAGTTTGAATGTATTTGCAGTAATATGCCCCAACAAAGTTTTGGGTTCAGGATTTTTTTTTAGTTTTTAGTTTTGCCTTGTTTCATTAAAATATATGGGAGGAAGAAAACCACATGGTACCTTGCATTAATCCTTCTACTCTGACAGAGAGAAATGGTTGGTTCTTGTCAGAGGCTACTGACTAATCACGTAGACAGAGAGCTTAAGAATATGTATTCTTGAAAATTTTTCTAAGTTCCATAGTTGAGTAGAAACAGTGCGAAACCATAATGGGGTATAGTGAAGAGCACTGACCATCATGCCAGAAAATTGGATTTAAGTCCCAGCTCCATCATTTCCAAGTTCTCTTCAGGCTTCAGATTCTTCATCTGTGAAAAGGGGATGGTCATACTTGTACTAGATGCTACACGGGGTTATGGAGATCAGCTACCAAAGCACTAGAGAAAGCTAAAGCACTTTGTAACCTTAAAGCACTACAGAAATGGGATTTATTCTTATTAGCATGAAGGTCCAGCAATGTGGCTTAGCATGTGCCAGATCTGTTGCCAGCTGTATGACTTGGGACGAGTTGGTTGTGCCTACATTTCTACATATCTACGATCCAAACTGAAAGTTTTGTCAGATTGGCCAAGAGAGCCTTTCCCATCATAGAATCTGAAAGGTGGAAGGAACCATAAAGGCCACATAGTCCAACGCATTTGGAAAAAGGAACCCTCACCACAGCATACCCAAGAAGTCGTCACCTTGCCTCAGCTTGAAAGCCTCCAGTGAGAGAAAACCCACTGCCTCCCAGAGCAGCCCGTTTCCAGTTTGGGATATCTCTGATTGTTAGGAAGTTTTTCCTTATATTAAGCCGAAATTTATAATTCAGTCAAATTCTATAAGCCACACATAACTTCAGAGATCAATTCAACCAACATCTTGCTAGTTTTTTTAATTTAGAATTTTATTCTGTTTAATTCATAAGCTTTATATAACTGTATTTTTAAAAAGAGACAAAAAAGCCAACAATACCACCAACAAAAATAAAGTAAAATAGTGAAAACATGACAGTATCCAAAATTGAGACACTTTTCAAAAGCAAGAGCTCTAAAAGTTCAGTCTACCGACTGTAAGAACCCTGACAAAATAGTTATGAATGGGGCAATGATGTCATTTCACAAACGGAATTTTGTGTAACTGAAAGAACTTTCTGGGGGCATAACTGTCCTTACAAGCAAATGAGGGGTAGGGGTGGACAAGAGAGGAAAAAATGAAATTCCAGTGTTCCAAATCAACTACACAAAGATGAAAAGTGGTAAGTGTGAGCCACCTTCAGAAAGGTTATGTTATACCTGAAAGGTGTACACAAATAGTCAACCTGATGGGTTAGCATTTTGTCCTCTAGGCCATGGCAACCCACTGAAGTTTTTTGGGCAAGAAGGTGATCTGGTAGAAGCTATGCACTAGGAAGATTATTTTGGCAGCCCTATAAAGGGCAATTTGAAGAGGGGAAGAGTGGAAGGCAGGAACACCAGTTATGAAGCTGTCACAGTGGTCTGGGTGAGAGGTGATGGCTAGAATTAGTGTGGTGGCATTGAGAGCGGAGCAGAAGGAGGGATGTTAGACATATGTTATGGTAGAACTGACAGTGGCTGTGGCAACTTATTGGATGAAAAGGACATTTCTCTATATTTTTATATAGAATTGCCTTAGGATTGCCACTGTGTAAATGTTATTTGTCAGTCGTGCGCTGGTAGCATAGACTTTGGTGGCAGATGTGGACTAGAAAATAATTGTGTCCCAGGCCTGTCACTAACCAGCTCTGTGACTTAGAACAAGATGATTGCGCCTCCCTTTCTACTACATATTTACAACGTAGATAATTCCCATCCCTGTCTGTATCCTGTTCTTTCTTTAAGGATGAATAAGATTATATCGATTGTGACCACTCATCAGAGATGTTGTGAAAGAGATTCTTGCTGCAGGTTAGGGTTGACCTCGATGCCTTCTGTAGTCTCTTCCAGAATCTCAGAGCTAGGAGGAACTTCACTGAATCCCAATCATACTGGACCAGGAATCCCTCCCTCTCCACCATTCCTGAGAGCAGGCACGTGAATTTCAGGGAACAGTAATTTTTCTTATGATTTTGTTCTCTCCCTGGCAGGATTACACAAGTGGAGCTATGCTCACTGGAGAGCTAAAGAAGATGCTTATTGAAGTGCTGCAGCCACTGATTGCCAATCACCAGGCCCGGCGCAAAGAGATTACAGAGGACATTGTGAAACAGTTTATGACTCCAAGGAAGCTGTTCTATGACTTTCAGTAACATAGATCATATGGACGTCTGGGTTTATATATACACAAATTCATCAGTAAATATCTGCCTGATTGTATTGCTATCACCCATAGTCATCTATCAACTGTTAAATATCCTATTTAATTGAGACTGAGAGTTGGGAGGAACCTCTTGCAAATTCTGTCTACAGCATCCTTGACAAGTGGTGATTATCTTACCTTATTGTCTGTAAGCCCTATGTTACCATGTTTCTTCCTGTGAATTAGCGTGTACCAGCTTAATGTGGAAAAATTCCATACCATGTAATAGTATGTAGGCAAAATAAAGAATTCTAGAAGTTCATTTCTACTACAAAATAAATGAAAGAATATGGTTTGAAGTGTTTGAAGAAAGTCGATCATCCATTACCTGGTAATCCAAGCATTTAAATTCACAGCATGTTGAGAAAGGTATGGTTTATTAAGTGTGCAGATGCTCATATTTTTTACCTAAACTATGTCTATCTATGATTTACATTTGGTACAGATACTGAAAATGTCCATTTCCAGTCTTCCTCAGTGTTCTGAATCAATTCTTTTATATCCAACTTTGGGCAAAAATGTAAATTGATGTGTAGCTAGAATCAAAACTCCATTCCTGCTGAGTTAAAAAGTTACTTAGGAAATCAGTATTGGCATTTAGTGAGTTTAATTCTGGTGCATGCTACTTAAGCAGAGAATCTGCCTTCCCCTAGTACTAACAAAAAACTTTGCAATATGTTTGTCTCAGCTGACTTGAGAGAAAACCTTGACACAGCTCTGGTATTGTGGGTGATGCTTCAAATATCGCACTACCAGTTCTTATGAAATTATCAAGTTCTTTATTGGTAAATTTTTCCATTTTGTTTCCTTAAGCTGATTTGTGCTCTCCTGCCCATGGCTCTATTCCAGAAATCATGCTTTCTTAACTATGATTTTCCAGTATTTCTAAACCAAAGAATCAGAGAAATTTCACACTCCATTTATGACAAAGGAAATATGAAATGATTTTGTCATTTTGATTTTGATACATAAAATGCTGAAAAAATGAGCTCTTGCCTTGTCAAATCATTGTCTTAGCACTTGACTGGCTTAGAAATGCAAGACAGGTAGGTTTCAAGAGAAATTTCTGAATTCTTAAGGGCAATAAAAATAGAAAGAAAGTGTTTACTGTGCCAAGTTGATAATATAGACCTGAAAGTCCTGAAGACCCATCTGAAAATTATGTAATGTAACTCTGTAGTAAGTAAAATAAGCCACTTAAATCAGCCCCTTGGTTTTCTACATCCAGGATTCCAGAGTGGGGTAACCATTCCTAACTGAATCTTTGCTTAATCTGTATAGAAGAAAACACTACCCCCTTCTTCCATGCTCCCCTTTGCAAACAACTGTGAATATTTGGAAGGGCCTTGCTTGATTTAAGAATACTCAAGATGAATCCCTAAGAAAGTAATTGGGATAAACTTTCAATCCACATAAAGACTTCAGAAACCCCATACACGCATTTGGTACCAGCGGAGCCCCAGGAGGAGTGATGGAGCACATCAAAATGTAGGGGAGGAGGCCATCCCTCCTTTCTCCTTCCACCACTGTCACTGGCCGACTGGCCTGTCCTCTGCACTACACCAGCCAACAATAGGTTTGGTTGTTTGCCAAAAGCAGTCACTAAGTTGTTTGACAAAGAGGCAGCCTCGTGTAGGAGAAAATTGCCTTAGATTTGGAGTCGGGAGATTTGAGTTCAAGTCTGAGCTGTAGCCACTCTCTTGTGTGACCTCTCCAAGTCTTAGTTTCCCAATCTGTGACATGAAAGAATTGGACTAGACAATTTCTCAGGTCCCTTTCAGTCTATGACAGCTCAACCATCCCAGTGACAGGGATCACAGCAATTCTGAAGCACCAAAACAGAATCTTAGCTTTCAAAGGGGACTTGGAGATGATCTAGTTCACCCTTTACAGGTGAAGAAACTGAGAGGGAAATAACACATCCAAGATAATTCAGCTAGTAAAGGGCTGAGTTGAAATCTGAACCCCATATTCTTGACTGTCAGACCAGTGTCCTTTTCACTATTCCTTTCTGCCTTTTCTTAGTCCCATGCTAACTGAATATGAGAAGGCCCCAGGCAGCCATCTGAGAACTCCTCTTTGGCTTAGGGCAGCACAGGATTCTTTAGGGGATTGGCTGCTCCAAGAATAGGACTGTCCTTTCTGCTACTACCTATGACCCCTCCACGCCCTTGCCCCAGATTGTCAGGGTTGCCCAACTGGGAAGTCTTGAAGCTAAGATTTGAACCCAAGTCTCCAGGTCAAGTCTATGACTCTTTCCACCATTCCACCCTCTGGTCCATTCCAGTTCTGTAACACCTAGAAACAGGACCCTGTGCTTTGCTATGGCAAGGTCTGGTACCAAGAGCCTAGATCCCTGCCAGAGTCACACACCAATTCTCTTTCTAAAATGAAAAATCAAAAACTCCCATCTCTATAAGGCTTTATGGTTTGCAAAGCACATTCATCACAACAATGTTGTCCTCATTTTATCATTATATAGACTAAGAAACAGCAGAGAGGTTGAGATTTACCTACAAATGCACAACTAATAAATATTTAAGGCAGAATTTGAACACAGGCCCCCAGACTCCTTGTACTCTAACCACTACACCACATTCCCTTTCAAGCCAGAGGCAAAAAGAAGCAGCTTTTTCTCTCACTTTTGGGTGTGGCTATTTTGTTGTTTGTTTGAATATAAATCAATGTTCTAGGGAAGTCAAATTAAAATTATTAAACTCACTTATAGGAAATATTTCATATTTGGTCCAATACTCTCACTTGCCTGAGTGACCTCGGATTAATCTCTAGGCCTCAGTTTCTGTGTCATTTAAAAAGAAGAGGTTGTACCTGATGATGTCTAAGGTCTCTACGAACTCTAACTCCTATAATAATCCAAGTTCATGAACTCTGGAATTCTTTAATCAGGACATCTTTTGTTATTCTATATTCCCTTCTGTCTTATGAACTTTAACCATGTTCTTCATCCTCACTGGAACCTCAAATCCCTCCACCCATCTCCCCTGCACTGGATACATCCTCCTCCCTACCTTCTTTTGGGCCCTTGGTGAACCAATTCAACCCTATACTGTCTTCTATACTCAGGTCCCTGCCCTCTTATCCTACTGCCAGTCCTATCTTGGATTACTCCCACTATTTACTGCCCACTATGTGATATTGAATGGAGGTGGAAAAACAGTGATGATCCAGTCCATTGCTAAACTCTATTGCTTAATCTCAATTTGGTCCTCACTGCAGCAAGGCAATCCTGTTATACCTCCCTAATCAGTTCAGCATGGCTTTTCCAAATCTTTTAATCCCTTCTTAAACTTCCCAAGGCAGCCTTTCAAACCAGACTCTTAGCTAAGAACTTAATCTCATACTTCCTGGAAAAATTAAGGCTATTTACTCAGAGCTTCCTCTTCTCCCCTCCTCATACTTCATCATTCAGCATTTCCCTCGCCATGTCTTCCTTCACCACTGACTCATGCGAAGAGGCAGCCCTTCTTGCCAAGGAAAATCCATCTCTATGCACCCTTGATCCCACTGCATCCCATCTTCAGCAGATTGTCCCCTTTATCATCCCCTCTCTCAGTAACTCAGTCTTTCCCTATCTACTAGCTGTTTCCCTGCTTCCTATAACTATTCTAATGTCTCCCCCATTCTTAAAAAAAAAATTAAATCTTCAATAGGAGCAGAACCAGGAGAACAGTGTACTCAGTAACAGGCAATATTGTGATGATAATCAACAATGAAAGACTTAGCTACTCTGATCAAGACTGATCCAAGATAATTCAAAAGGACCCATGATGAAAAATGCACTCCACCGTCAGAGAGAGAACGGATGAACTCTGAGTGCAGATGGAAGAATCTTTTTTTTTAAACTTTATTTTTCTTGGGTGTGTGTATATGTGTGTGTGTGTGTGTGTGTGTGTGTGTGTTTTCTTTTTCAGCATGGCTAATATGGAAATATGTTTTGCCTGATTTTTTTTTTCGGGTGGGCAATGGGGGTTAAGTGACTTGCCCAGGGTCACACAGCTAGTAAGTGTTATGTGTCTGAGGCTGGATTTGAACTCAGATCCTCCTGAATCCAGGGCCAGTGCTCTATCCACTGCGCCACCTAGCTGCCCTCTGTTTTGCCTGATTTTACATGTATAATTGATATCATCTTGCCTTCTCAAGGGGTAAAGGAGGAGAGAAAGGAAGAGCATTTGGAACTCAAATTTTTTAAATAATGAACATTAAAAAAAAATTAGTACATGTAATTTGGAAATATTTAACTAAATAAATAAAAATACATTTAAAAAAAAAAACCTCTCACTAGATCCAACCATCCTATGTCTCTCCCCAAGTAAAACTCCTTGAGAAATCTGTCTACAATCAGTTCCTCCACTTTCTCTCTTACTCTCATCTAAACCTTCTGCTTTCTGACTTCCAGCCTTATCATTCACCTGAAACTATTCTTTCCAAAGTTATTGATTATCTCTTAATTGCCAAATCTAATGGCCTCTTCTCAACTCTCATCTTTCTTGACTTCTCTGCAGACTGACACTATTGATAACCTTCTTTGGCATAGTCTCATCTCATCATCCCGATTCTCCTCTTAGCTGTATGGCCGCTCTTTCTCAGTCTCCTTTGCTGCATCTACATCCAGGTCATACCTGATTGAAAAAGGAGCCCCAAACAAATGACTGAGTCATATGGATTTGTTTATGGAAACATAGGGGTTAATCTGGACCAATTCAACACCACCAGAAACTGCAGAAGTGTTAAGGAGACAAGCAGCTTAGCACAGCAGATAGAGAACCACCCAAGGACCTGGTTTCAAGTCCCACTCCTAACACATACAGTGGCTGTGTAACCTGGGCAAGTTAGTAATTTCTCAGAACTACTGGCCAGCAATGTCACTCATGAGTAGCCAAGCCTACAATCCAGGATTCCAGAGTGGGCAAAGAGGAGTCTGAAAATCAAGAGAGGTAGAGGAAAAATGGAAAGAGAAATGAGAGTGATGCAACAAATTCATGAAAAATGAGTCAGCAGCTTGGGAAAGGAGACACAAAAAATACTGAAGAAAAATAACACCTTAAAAAAAGACTAGGCCAAATGGCAAAAAAAGGTCCAAAAAGCCAATGAGGAGAAGAATACCTTAAAAAGCAGAACTGGCCAAACGGAAAAGGAGGTACAAAAGCTCACTGAAGAAAATAATTCCTTTTTTCAACTACCGCCTCCCTCAGTTCCACCTCCCTTCTATTAGCCCCCTCTCTTTTCTTCCCCTTTACTCTTACTACTTCTTTCCTCCTTCTATCCCTCTTCCCTTTTCTTTCCCCTTTTCCCTTCTACTGCCTATATGGCAAGTTAGATTTCTATACCTAACTGATTATGTTATTCCCTCCTTCAGCCAAATCTGATGAGAGTAAGGTTCAAACAATGCGCATCTCCCTCCCTTCTTTCCCTCTACTGTAATAGGTTTTTGTCCTTTAAAGTAATTTACCCTTGTCTGCCTCCTCTTTTCCTTTTCTCTCAGTACATTTTCTTAGTTAGATCATATTAATCCACTTACTTAGATCCATTTAACCCACTTGATTAGATTTTTTTTTATCATTGCATCAAAGTCAATTTATACCCACCCCCTCTATGTATACCCCTTTAAAATGGTGTAATAACAATACAGTTCTCAAGAGTTACAAGTGTCATCTTCCCTTGTAGGGATGTAAATAGTTTGTCCTTATTAAGAATATGTTGTTTCTTTCTGTTTGCATTTCCCTTTTTATGTCTCTCATGAGTCTTGTATTTGAAGATCAAATTTTCTGTTGAGCTCTAGTCTTTTTATCAGGAAGGTTTGGAAGTCCCCTATTTTGTTGAATATCCATCTCCTCCCCTGAAAGATTATGCTCATTTTCGCTGGGTAGTTGATCCTTGGTGGTAATCCAAGCTCCTTTGCCTTACAGAATATTGTATTGCAGGCCCTACAATCTTTTTTTTTTTTTTGCTTTTAGGCAATTGGGGTTA